GCCCTAATCTAGGGATCTAAATAATTACCGAGACTGTTTCGGGGGTTCCTTGTTATGACTATAGTATACTAATTAATGGGCCCCAAAACCCTACTCTAATTAGTAAGGTTATTAAGGCCCCTACATTATGCCCCCAACCCTGAGCTCAGGGTTTCGAGCCTTGGCAACTGGAAGCACCACAGCCGTGTCACTGGGTAAAGGAACCGAGATCCAGAGCCTCTCTGTGGATCATGGGGGGGGTAATGCAGGAACCTGATTCAGAAACCTTGGGCCTTTCTTAGGGTTCCTTGTATGACTCCTACTATTTTGGGGGTTTACAGGCCAGGGGTTCTTAATCAGGTTCCTACATTAGGGCTTTGGGCTTTAAGGGTTTAGGGTTTGGGGCTTCAGGGATTTAGGGCTTAGGGCTTCAGGGCTTTGGGGTTTAGGGTTCAGGGCTTCAGGGTTCACGGTTTGGGGTTTGAAGGTCCAGGGCTTTAGGGTATAGGGTTTCAGGGTTTGGAGTTTAGGGTTTGCAGTTCAGGGCTTAACTTAAGGGTTCAGGTCTTACAGTCTTGAGCTTTCCAGGTCTTAAGCAAGGGTTTGGGGTTTCGAGATTGTGTTTGGGTAAATCCAAACCTGGCTCAGAGATGAGCCTCCACCGCTGGCATTAGGCTTTGTGACCCTAAACCCAAACCCTATACTTTAGAAGGGGCCCCACCCTGTAATAGTGACTATAAGGATTTTATTAGGGCCCCATTATATTCCTATTATAGCACTATTACAGGGTGGGGGCCCCTTTTAACCTATACTACTTGTGAGTTGCTCCTTAAACTTCGACAATGAGCTGCTGTAGGGTTCCACATGAACTCGAACATGTGGGTAAACCCTAAACCTCATATGAAGCAAAGCTTCTAATGAAATCTGCGTCCATGAAACTACCCGAAGTAGACAGCAACAAGTACTCAAAGAGAGCTCTCTATATCCGAAACCCTAAACCGTAAAGCCTACTTCCTGTTGCAAGGGGAGAGTTACTCTTGGGTTCCTAGAACACCGGGTCAGAAGTAGTTAAACCCGCATCAACAAGCCCCTAAAGCCGTAGACCGTTGAACCCCTATGGTTTAGGGTTTAGGGTTTATGGTTTAGGGTTTAGGGTTATAAACCCTAATAGGCCCTAAACCTTAAACCCCAAAGAACTTCGACTTCTTTATTAACCCTACTGGACCCTAGCTGCTAAACCTTAAGGGGGCCCTGGACCCTAGACCCTAAACGTAGACCCTAAACAGTGCACCTAACAGGGCCAACAAAGTTGCTAGCGCGGTTTTGAGCTTTCGGGTCCCGAGTCAAGGCTGCACGAGCTGAAAGGAGTCCCGACAAGCTGCTTTAGAATAAAGGACCTTGTCAATCACAGGAGTAGGGTCTTGGGAACAGCGACGATGCTAGATTCTAGCTATTCAAACCTCTACAAGATTTCGAAGTTCAGGCGGCAGACCCGAAGAGCTCTTTATGAAGCGGGGCATCGTCGAAGCAAGCGGCAAATATTAAGAGAGCAGGCGTTTAGGGTGCGTGAATGTGTGTGCTCTTTTTCGGGTGCATTTAGTGCTTAAAAATCCCAGACAAGACAATCCGTGTCTGCAGAATACATGACATGATCTTTGGCGAAAGCATCCCGACCCCCTCAATAAACAGAAGACCCAGCCTAGGCTCAAAGCCTTAGGGTTTAGGGTGTAGGCCAAGCTTCCACAGGACTGTGGCAACCGCAGCGATCACCAAGGTGTACAGCAGCGCAGACAGCGGCTTCTTGCACATGGGAGCTTGCCCATGCCCCAGCTAAACCCCAAACCCTAAAACCATACCACGTCATGAACGCTGAACCTGGCTGGCGGCCCCGACCGATTAGAGCCAGAGAGCCACCTATGATAGCTATCCACGTAATATATAGGGGTCTCAGAATTAGATTTGGTGCTGGGGTGCATATTTTGACATAATCACACACGCTATCACTTCCAACCCCGCACAACTAGTCTTGTGTTGAGGAGCCGTTTGGGTTCAGGGTGCTTGTTGCAGTTAAGGCTTAAGTTTTCGGGTTTTGAGGTTTTGGGAGTTTGTGGAGTTTGCGGTGTAGGGCGTAGGGTTCCAGAAAAGATAGCTTGAGCCTCGCAGGCTCAAATTTCGCTCAGAAGCCCGGCGGCAGCAGCATCCCACCACCTGAGCCCTAAACCCTAAAACCCTAAACCCTAAGCCCTAAACCCTCAAAGCCCGAGACTAAAACACAGAAAGCCCTGAGCCCTTAGCTCCGGGAATCCCCAGACCACCACTCTCTACACCCCATCTGAAACACAAGGCCCTGTTATCGGGAATATGCTATGTACTTCTTCAGGCCCCGATACAGGTTTAGACTTGTGAGCTTGTGTCTTAAATGGGAGTTTCCGAAAATTAAGGGTACCTGATTTTGGGGGCCCTTATAATAAGGATCCTACTATTTAGGGTACTATATTAGGGTCCTCCATTTTCGGAAACCTTCGGAAACCCCCAACTGGCCCTCCGTAAAGACGAGATAAAGAAGCTACTGGGGTCTCAGGTCTGAGCCTATGCACTTTAAGGCCAGAGGCTTCGGGCTTAGGGTTTACTGAGTTAAAACACTGAACCCCAAACCCTAAACACTACTGAACCCAAAACCCTAAACCCAAAACCCGAAACCCTAAACCCTAACTAAACTGCCGAGAGCGCCGCTGACCATTTGCATGGGCGCTCGAGGCTCCGACCGAGGCCCCCGGCCGAGCGTCTCGACAAAACGGGTGAGGGAGGGTAAAGCCTCCCGGTGTACGGGGACGGAAATGACTCGGCTACGCCTCACACAATACGGACGTCAGTCCGTTATCATGAGGACCCCAAATCCCTCACCATTCCCTCAGTCCTTTTTTGGGGGGTCTGGGGGTGTACCCCCAGGGCATTCCAGGGACCTAGCCTGTTTATAGGCTGCGCCCCCCCTCTGTGTGCCCTGCCCTGCCCTGCCCTGCCCTGCCCTGCCCTGCCCTGCCCTGCCCTGCCCTGCCCTGGCCCTCTTGCCCCGCCTTGTTCACACTTCGAAAAGCCCTTACAGGGCGCGAGAATCAAGTTGTTTGTTGGAAACCCTTGCTTTTCGTCGAGCGGCCGGCACAGGCCGCGAGGACCCACAACCCGACAGATTTATGGAGAAATATTGTTGTTTACATGTCAAGCTGCGAAAGGAAGCACAGAGCAAGAAAGCCCCTAAACCCTAATTGAGAATAGTTGGGGTGGTTGGGGCGGGACTACATGCTGACGCAAGCGCGCGATTAGTGGGTGCGCCTCCTATTCCTAAAGTAAAAGGCGCACCCACCGCGCGCATACTGTCTACACACCCAAAACCCCTAAATCCACCACCTTGGCGCTTGGGAACTGAACCGGCTCAGGGGGGCCTTTTCGGTCGCTTCAGCCGCCGGCAGCTCTGCAAACGATGCAGTCTCTTGAGGACTGCGTCAAAATACATACATAGTATTGGGGCCTTAAGCATTGTAATGCGGTTCGGGGGCACATGGTTAGATGCGATGAGTATGACAAGGAACCCCCAAAGGAGTATTGGAGTGCGTCAAAACACATACATAATCTGGTTCTGTAGCTTTTTCTGCATGAGTTATGTGCTGATCTAGCACATCGTCTCTGCTAACGGCAGGCGCGTATGTATGCATGTATGTACCTACAAGTATCTAATTTAATCATGACCATATGCAAATATGCACAATGTATAGACAGATAGATAGGTAGATAGACAGGCAGATAGTTAGATCGCTAGCTAGATAGATGGTAAACAGATAGCCATATATCATGTTCCATGACCAGCTTTGAAACCTGGTCCGACACGACAGCGACCAGCTCCCTCCCCCGAGTTCTGCATAATGACTGCGACCAGAGCAATGATATCAGTAACGATCAGAAAGTATTCCCGCTTGGGGACTTTACATCTTGAATTCCGCCCAACAACCCCGAAGTCGGCTCCACCCGTTGGGACCCTGAGGCTTAAGTACGGAAACATGAGGATGCAGCGTTGATTGGGCAATCGGTCAAAAGCGCAGATTCCCAATGTCGGAGATTGTTTTTGCAGCATAGGGATTTAGGGTTTGGGGTGCTGATTTTTTCTGGCGTAGGGCTCAAGGCTTAAAATTTAGGCATATGTAAGGAGTAAGGTTTGGGGTGTAGAGCTTCAGCCACCAAGCCATTGCTGCCTTTTGGACGCGACTGCATTGGGCATAGTTAATGAGGCTTCGGTGCGATGAGGAGGTTTACATGTTTTGGCAGGGTTCGACATCATGAGCCCCTGAGCCCTCATTAACAATCCGAAATGCAAATTTCTGCATGTCCAGTAGTGATAACATAGGGGTCTAACTTATATGATAATTAGAATAGGGCTTTGGTGCATATATTTGTAAGAAGGAGCCCCCCAAAATAGTGTTGGTGATTAAATAGGCCCCTATGACTGGCCCCTATGATACTCAGGACCTCCAACGAGGCTGATACGCACTCTACAAGTCCCGATTGCCCCGTGCAGCTATGCGGCGCTTTGCCTCAAGCAGGTTCGCACTTCAAGAACCCAAGAAGCCTGTACAGTTCAAAGGCCGTTCCAGGTAATTCGAGGATGGCGGTCTATCTTCGATAGAGCCCATGCGGACAAAAACTGAGTCCTCCTATGAGACGCGCGTATTCTACGCCTGCTCCTGCAAGGAGCTAGAGCCTACGACACGCCGCCTTCACCCCCCCCCTTGTTGCCAATGCGGGGGTTTCCGAGTCTGTCCTTCCCGGTACAACCGTCAGTTATTACTCCCATTTTGCCTAGCTGCACGCTAGAGTGGTGATCGAAGTTCCTAATTGGAAGGGCAGGGGACTTAGTAAGTAGGTTATAAGTAGAGTTATAAGTACCCTAAATGGAGTTACCCCAATTATAACCCTACTTATAACCTACTTACTAAGTCCCCTGCCCTTCCAAGTAATTCATTTTTCTGTCATTATCCATCAACCAGCATGCCGGCGATGCAGCCTGTCATCAAGCAGGCAAGAGTGCCAGTCACCTTAGCTGCACTATGATCTGCCAACATCATTCTACGTGAGTACTGTTGGCACTAGTTGTTGTTGTTCTGGTCGTCATATGACCGTGCATTCGTCGTTTTGCTGCTGTCATTGCCATTCTTCTTCAGTGGTTATAGTTCTTCAGTGTGATGCTGACAGCATATGTATTCCCACAGTTACTTGTTGTTCCGGCCTTCTCCCAGCTTGCGTGTTCTGGAGTTTTTCGGTTTCGGGTATCTTGTCTATCTTGGCCGACTCCTGTGCCGAAAATGGCTTCCAGGGCCCGTCTAAAGCAAGAGCCCTTTGCTCCTGTGACTAGGACGGAACATGAAAAAACTGCCTAGGGACACTAATGGATCCAGGTGCGGCAGTCTTTCCGAAATCGATGACTTGTTAAATGTAGTGTATTGACTTCTCGTATGGTTCTATTCAAGATGGATTGTTTCAAAGGTCGCTCGGAAGAAGTCTGAACCCTTGACCTGGACCCTGAACCGTAGCAACATTTTCACGCGCATTCCTTGTCTAGGCTCTGCGTTGCTTCTGTTGCATGTTCGCAGCACGACGATAGGTGGCAGGGGTTTAAGGGATGATCTCGGACTTCTGATGCTCCCCAAACCTAAACCCCATATAAGCCCTAAGCCAAAACGGTATGTCTAGACACTACCTCCTAAGCCCTGAACCCGAGTTCCGAAGCCTAAACCCCAAACCTGGGTTCCAGATTAGGTGCCGGAAGTGATGTGGTTGCTTTTTGGCGCCCAGACGGGTTGTTTATGCCCCGATGAGAACATCAGCCGTGTTTTGTTGTTTACCCGCACGGCTTGCAAGCCCGACCCCGTGAGTGCGTGAGTGTGAGCGTGAGTGAGCGAGTGAGGCACGCAGTGTGTCGGGGTGGAGGGGGAGGACAAACCAAAGCACTCCGACCATGAAGCACCTTTAACACTTCGACTACCGGAACGGCGCACACAAAGAAAGACCCCAAGGAATCATAGGAGAACGAACCAGTATCCAGCAACGCCGAGCCATGCCGAGCCTCTATAGCCCTTTTCTGATACAACCTTTTCGAAGCTGAATGTAGTGAGTAGTTCTCTAAATCAGGGTCCCCTTTAGGGTCTTTTTGGTAAGGCTGCCGTACCAGTTTGAGGAACCTAGTTTAGAGAACTAACCATATGGCCTTCATGACACCACTTGCGAGGTGCTTGCTTCAAAGCCGAAGCAACTGAAGATCCCGGGTCGATTTGTTTGGGTTTGCTCGAATTTTTAGGGGCTTGGGTTTAGGGTTTAGGGTTTGGGGCTCAGGGTTTCGGGTTTTTGGTTTGCTGCAAGATTGCGTAGCGGTGGAGTAACAAGGATTGTAGATTTATTAGCGGTTTTGTTGCTTGCGAATCGCAGCCTTGGCCCGACTGTGGCGGGCCATCACATAACTCACCCACCCCACGCCGTCTGAGGCGGCAAACCACCCAAACCTATACCTTTTAGGGTTTAGGACCTAAACTCTGTTAGGTCCATGTTGGTTAACAACAACCACACACTTCTGCAGCCAAGCTTCTGCTCCGAAAACGCAGGGCAGAGTAGGGCAGAGTACGGCAGGAGGTAAGGGCCCGGGGCAGGGTGCCAGGAGGGCACGGGGGGACCAGGGCGGGCCAGGGGGGCCCAGAAAGGGCCAGGGGGGGCCAGGGGGGGTTTGGGGGGTGGCCAAACCAGCGCAGCGGCCCCAGGATTTCGAGTCATTAATAGGGACCAGTACTGGTCCCGGGAGAACGTGTCCCGGTACCGGGCCTAACGTGGGTGCTACAGTACCGAGCGTCCTGGATCGACCTGCGCCATCGATGTCGAGGGGCTTAAGCGCCGCCCACCATCGAAGGTGGGCGGCCTAGGCCATGAGTTTAGTTTAGGGCTTGGGGCTTAGGGTTTAGCTTTAAAACTCCAAACCCTAAAACCTATTCCGTCAACCCTAATTGTACCAAACCCCAAACCCTAAATCCTAAAAACCCTCAAACCTAAACCCCTCAACCCTTCAACGCTAAAACCCCAACAACATGAACACCCACCACACCCTAGACGCTACACCCTAAATCCTCAAAACCCTAAACACCACCAAAACCCCTCAAAACCCTCAAAACCCTAAAACCCTAACTCCTAAACCCTAAACCCTACATCCTGAAGCGCTCACTGCAAGTGGCCATGGCCCGGAAGCCCAGCGCAGCAAAGTCCGCCTTCCGCAGAGGCTCCAGCGTCGAGAAACCGCCCACCTTGCGAACTTAGCTCGCTACATAAATGGGAGTTTCCGAAAATGGGGGTACCCCGTTTGGGGATCCGTATAATAAGGATCCTATTTTTTTAGGGTACTAAATTAGGGTCCCCTATTCTCGGAAACTCCCAAGTACATCAACACATACATGGCGGCGCTTCAAACGCTGAGCCTTTGTCTCTGGTTGAGGGTTCTAGGGTTGAGGGTTAGGGTTTCAGGTAAACGGTAAAGGCTTAGGGTTTCGGGGTGTCCTTGTATCACAATGAGCATCTTGCCATGCTATGTTTTCTGTGTCGTCATTACGGACATTACTCATAAGTTCGTGGTGTGCCTTTCTGCTGACTGCTTCCGGGAGATTTGCGCCCTCAGACGCTCCGGATCTGGAGTTGACCGGCTTCCGTAGTCAAGCTATTGCCGGCGGCGGACACTGCCCGGAAACTGCTACACGCAGCTTATTATCAGGAAACAGGAAAGCAGTGGTTGCCCCTGCCAGTTATTGTTTGAATATGGTCATCGCTACAAGTACCGATGCTCAGCAGTCCCTCTAGCAAGATTGTTGTGCAGCGAAACTTGTTTTGGTTAAGAATACCTTCATCTAACTCCAAACCGACAATATCTTCCCCAGATTGCACCTCCATCGAAGCCCAGCCCATCATCATAATCACAAAGACACACGCGAGTATGAGAGCGTGTTCAAACTTAAACTCGTGGCTGACATCGCTGGTCTCTTTCATTGACAAGGCTGGCATCAGGAGGCGTTCGGGAGTCTAGAATTCGTGTTGAACGTAACGTCTGCCTCCCAGGAAGCAGCATAACACACACCCGCAAGCCGAAACTGTAATTATTTTGGAACCCGTGTAGTAATCCTAACAGGACCCGTATAGCAACCCAAACCCTAAACCCCTTCCGGTGAGTCTGGCCTGAACACCGATAGAGCCAAAGTTGGCGAAACCGCATAGGGCGTAGGTCGCGATGATTTCCTTACGAGCATGGCAACAGTACCCTTGAGTGCTATAGAACGTAGAGATGCTTGCGTTGAGGTGCAAGCCTCTACCGGCTGTTGTGAAAAGTTCGTGGCCTGCTGGTTTCAGGAGGTTGACGAGCTTCGCGGAGTGTCGTGGGCTCTAGAATACCCCAGTCCTAAGAGTCCAACCCCACGAGGCTTAAGCCCTAAACCCACCCCCTTCAAAAAACAGAATGCTAATCATAATCATCATCATAATGCAAACAGTAATAATAATCATAATAATAATAATAAAAGCAGCCGAGGATCTGCTTGCTTGGTGATCGCCCCCTTGGCTTTCAGGTCCTCGAGGTTTCTGTAGGCCACGAACTCATTGAGGATGGTCTTCTGGCCTTTGCTTGATTTTTGGGGGGGTTTAAGTGTCTTGCTTTAGTGCAATAGCCCTCTAGGTTGGAACGTTTAGGGTTCAAGGGCTTAGGGTCAAGACCTGGGCTTGGGGGTGAGGATGGTCCTGCGGCCCTTTGCAGCTTTATGGAAGCTTTAGATTGCATGAGACGTCGCCAAGGCCAAGCCTGGTCGCCAAGCCGTAGTCTCTGGTATATACCTAAATGTTGCATCTGGAAACCCCCAATCTTATACGATTTGGCTGACGCTATATTCACCATGACCTGGGGAACCCTACATCTTTAACACGACTCGGATAGCCTTCGTGACTTGCGGGGCGCCCTCTTTGCACTTCACCACCCGGTTCTCTGATTCAAACGACAGGTGTGTTTCAACAGAATTTCCAGGGCAGGAGCTGTGGCACCCCGGGGGATCTAAATCCTTCACGTTTTGGTGGTACCCAAGATCCTTCAGGACTTGCGAATCCTAAAAACCCGAAAGCCCTAAAGCCCTCGAGCCCTAAAACTCTAAAAGACTCTTACAACTCAAAGAACCTAAAACCCTAGAACCCTCTAATAAAGAACCCCGGAGCCCTGGACAAAACCCTAAAACCTTAACACCTTGGAACCCTGAAACCACCCAAAAAAACGAACTTAAATATCCGATGAAAGAATTCAAGCTTTGATAAAACTAAAAGAAACCCGAGCAGCCGATCAGCAGTCCCACACTTTGGCAATCCTCTGAAGGCACTCCCATGAGCCTGGAGGTGTGGGGCTTAGGGTTTTGGGGTTTAGGGTTTAGGGGTTGGGGTTTAGGGTTTAGGGTTTAGGGTTTAGAGGTTTGCTAAATGTTCCGCGCTCACCACCATGCAGGCATGTGTTGTGGTGTGCGCGGCGTTCAGCGCCCTTGCCCAACCCACCCGCCCACATCTCAACCTTGACAAGTTTAGGGTTTTTTGATGGATGTTTTTGGCGCTTTTCTTTTCTTTTCGGGAGCTATGGATGAAGTAGGGCGAACCTACTGGTCATTATAACCTTTGCTTGGAACCAGGCATATTATTTTTGGACAAATCTAGATCATGACGTCACGACGCTAAGATGTGAAACCTAGAAGTCTTTCAAGGCCAGAACGAATCTGACGCGATGGCTCCCTTTGGTTATTGCACCGGTAAAGCAACTGAAAATCAGGCTTTATGACTCAACTTCCGCCAAGATAGCTTTGGGTATTGCACCGGCAAAAGAAATGAACATCAGGCTTTATGACCCAATTTCTACCAAGGCGGCTTTGGTTACAAAAGAAATGAATATCTTTATGATTCAACTTCTACCAAGGTGGCTCGCAGCCAGAACGAATCTGACGCGATGGCTCCCTTTGGTTATTGCACCGGCAAAGCAAATGAAAATCAGACTTTATGACTCAACTTCCACTAAGGTAGCTTTGGGTATTGCACCGGCAAAAGAAATGAACATCAGGCTTTATGACCCAATTTCTACCAAGGTGGCTTTGGTTACAAAAGAAATGAATATCTTTATGATTCAACTTCTACCACGGTGACTCGCAGGGGCCTCCCAGGGGCCTCCCAAGGGCCTCAAGGCCAGAACGAATCTGACGCGATGGCTCCCTTTGGTTATTGCACCGGCAAAGCAAATGAAATTATGACTCAACTTCTACCAAAGTAGCTTTGGGTGTTGCACCGGCAAAAGAAATGAACATCAGGCTTTATGACCCAATTTCTACCAAGGTGGCTTTGGTTACGGATGAAATGAATATCTTTATGATTCAACTTCTAACAAGGTGGCTCGCAGGGGCCTCCAGGGGCCTCCCAGGGGCCTTCAAGGCCAGAACGAATCTGACGCGATGGCTCCCTTTGGTTATTGCACCGGCAAAGCAACTGAAAATCAGGCTTTATGACTCAACTTCCTCCAAGGCAGCTTTGGGTATTGCACCTGCAAAGGAAATGAACATGTGGCTTTGGTTACAAAAGAAATGAATATCTTTATGATTCAACTTCTACCACGGTGACTCGCAGGGGCCTCCCAGGGGCCTCCCAAGGGCCTCAAGGCCAGAACGAATCTGACGCGATGGCTCCCTTTGGTTATTACACCGGCAAAGCAAATGAAATTATGACTCAACTTCTACCAAGGTAGCTTTGGGTATTGCACCGACAAAAGAAATGAACATCAGGCTTTATTATGACCCAGTTTCTACCAAGGTGGCTTTGGTTACGAAAGAAATGAATATCTTTATGGTTCAACTTCTAACAAGGTGGCTCGCAGGGGCCTCCAGGGGCCTCCCAGGGGCCTTCAAGGCCAGAACGAATCTGACGCGACGGCTCCCTTTGGTTATTGCACCGGCAAAGCAACTGAAAATCAGGCTTTATGACTCAACTTCCTCCAAGGTAGCTTTGGGTATTGCACCTGCAAAGGAAATGAACATCAGGCTTTATGACCCAATTTCTACCAAGGTGGCTTTGGTTACAAAAGAAAAGAATATCTTTATGACTCAACTTCTACCAAGGTGGCTCAAGGGGCCTCCCTCCCAGGAACTTCCCCGAGGACCTCCCAGGAACTTCCCAGAAGCCTCCCAGAACCTCGCACCCAGTGGCCTCCTAAAGCCTGAGCCAGGGTGAACCAGGGTGAACCAGGGTGAACCAGGGTGAACCAGGGTGAACCAGGTGAGCCAGAGGGTGAGCCAGGGTGTGAACCAGGGTGAACCAGGGTGAACCAGGTGAACCAGGTGAACCAGAATAACCAGACTGAACCAGGTGAGCCAGACGGTGAGGCAGGGTGTGAACCAGGAACCAGGATGAACCAGGTGAGCCAGAGGGTGAGCCAGGGTGTGAACCAGGGTGAACCAGGTTGAACCAGAATGAACCTGGGTGAACCAGGGTGAACCAGGGGGCTCCGTGACCCGTCCCGGGGGGGGCCCCGGGACAGGCGGATCCTAAATCCTAAATCCGAAACCCTAAATCCTAAATCCTAAATCCTAAATCCTAAATCCTAAACCCTAAATCCTAAACCCTAAATCCTAAATCCTAAATCCTAAATCCTAAACCCTAAATCCTAAACCCTAAATCCTAAATCCTAAATTCTAAATCCTAAATCCTAAACCCTAAATCCTAAATCCTAAATCCTAAGTCCTGAACCCTGAATCCTAAATCCTAAATCCTAAACCCTAAATCCTAAATCCTAAATCCTAAACCCTAAATCCTAAATCTTAGGATGGTGCTACAAATGGTGGGGTTTAGGGTAATCAGTTAACACTGCAGGACTGTCGCCTGCACGCAGGTTCACTAGCTCTCAGCGTCGACCGTCCTCACCGGACGGATCCAAGTCGGCGTCCACTAGGGCTTAAGCCCGTCGCGTGGACGCACCGCGCCCACAGGTAGGGACGCGGTAGCGACCGCCGCCAGCGCTAGCTGGAGAAAGCGGCGGTCTTTGTTTAGGGTTTAGGGTTTAGGGGTTGGGGTTTAGGGTTTAGGGGTTGGGTTTAGGGTTGGGGTTTAGGGTTTAGGGGTTTGGGTCTAGGGTTTAAGGTAGGTGGAAGTCAGATGGGGGCCTTCGCAACGAGAATGGATTTAGGGTTTAGGGATCTTCAATAGCAAATAGAATGGTGCTCCTTTAGAGAATGCAGGGACCTTAATGAACAGAATGCGGTTCCTTCAACTCGAGGAATACAGGGGCCGTAGTTGGTGGCATGGGGTCCCTTTAAAGAATACAGGTGTCAATGTCGAAGATTATGCTTGAGCAGCTAGCAAACATCAGCATCAACATCATCATCATCATCATCCTCCTCATCCTCAGATTAGTCATCATCGTCCTCTCATCCTCAGATTAACTCATCATCATCATCATCATCATCATCATCAAAGCTGCACTGATTTCATTGGCGTACCAAGTCCAAGTCGCAGTGCCAAAGGCCAGAGAAGGTAGGACAGCACCTGACTCACTTCAAGCTTCCAGTTACTTTCCTTTGGTTAGTAGAGAATGGAGGAATGGGGGTACAATTATAACCACTATTAAATTACTATTACCACCATTCTTCCATTCCCTACTAACCAAAGGTAAGGTTAAGATATAAGTAAGGTTATAAGTACCTTAATTGGGGTTATAAGCTATTGCAAGTATGTTTACCTTATTTGTGAGCCCAATATGCCTAGTTCCCGAGCCCTCCCGGTTGCACGGGGAAGATCTGGTCTCGAACAGGCTGTACTTACACGGTAGGGTTGAGGGCATAGGGGATCTGCTGATAAACTCCTGAACAGGAATACCCAGCATTTCTGAAGCAGCAACCCTAAAATCCCCAAACCCTGCTGCGGAGCACTTCGCAGGCTCCCTTAGCAGAGGACTTCGGTTTTGCCGAGATTTCGGCATGTACTGGCTTTAGCTGTGAGCTTTCTCAAGATCCATCCCCGGAAAATGTCTATTCGAGTCTCAAAATTGTGGAGGCAGCACAAATAGTAGGACCCTTCTTAGTCACTGAAACCCATGTCTTCAACAACGAAAACTGAGTTCTCCAGCAGCCGCTTCTCTCCGATAAGGTGCCCAAGCTCCCTTCATCCTACTTAGACCGGAAGTTCCAACGTGTAGAGCATCGCCATGCCTGTGCAACAGAGGAGAACAGCTGCACTTCACAAACTGATGTTACCCTCATGGTCGAGAGCTTTGATCAGGGAGTTTCCGAAAATGGGGGGATCCAAATATAGTGCCCGAAATAACTGCATCCTTATTATAAGGACCCCCAATGAGGTACCCCTACTTTTCGGAAACTCCCATAATGCTGCCTGTAAACCTGGGGAATATCTTACCGTCTAGGCTCAGAGCTTGGGTTCGTTTTTGGGGTTTTGGGGTTTGGGGTCCTAACTTTGATCTTAAGCCGGCTACACTGTAAAGTGAGTCCCAGAAAGTTGGATCATGGAGTTACGATGATTAGTGCTGGGATCGCCTACACTTTACCTTAGAGGCAGGAGGAGAATGATGTTCCAACTTTCTGGCTTCTGCTATAAGGTGGACTCTTAAGGGATATTTGACTGCCGATGGGCCTTGTCGAAAGTGAGCCCACTGATGCCCACAAGATCACCGGAAAACTCCAACCTGAAGGTTGATGTCAGCTCGACGGCTGCAGGATTTTGGGATTCAGGGGCTTCGGGGTTCGGGGCATAGGGTCTAAGGATTAATACAAGGGCCTTAATAATTTGAATTGGGTTTCGGGGCTCATTATACCTTGCTTATAACAAGGAACCCCCAGACTAGTATAGGTAATTATTCAGGCCCCTATATTAGGGTTTGGGCTTTCAGGCTTTAGGGTTTCAGGCTTTAGCTTCTGGGCTGTTTTTCTCACGGGCTTTAGGGGTTGAGGTTCGCGGTTCGCATTTCCGGGCGTTTTACTGGTGTTTTGTGTTGCGCTTGTCATGGGCTTACGTTCGTTGCGGTTTAAAGTTTTCGGGTTCTGGGGTTTAGGTGCTCTAAAGTGTGATTTGGATAGGTCGTCAAAGGTTGTGCATGGGGTTCGACTTGGATTCGCGGTGGGCGCGCCACGACAAGGCTGGGTATGAGCATCCTGGTCATCTCGAGCATTCGCATTAGTGTTTAGGGTCCTGTGTTGCTGTAATGGTGCCCGCCGCAACATGTTCAACACCCATTTCTTCTAGGCCCTTTTTTGAGCCAGGTCTATCTGAAGTTCCCCTAGGCCCTAAACCCCAAAGCCCTTCAACCCCTTAACCCTAAACTCTGGTCCAAAGACCTGGTACACACACCGAAGACTCTGTATCCCCTTTTCGGCCCCTAACTCAGCACAACATACCCGAAAACCCTATTCTAATTACTCAGGCTCGCATATTACCGCTTCTCACGCCGAGCGGCGATGAGTTTAGAAAAGCCATGATTGACACTGCGGCAATGAGCATGGCTGCGACGCAAGCAGCCTGGAAGGTGAGGCCAGGCCAGATGTCATGCATTCTTGAGAAAACGTATATATCGTTAGCGTCATGGCTTTCATCTTTGCGGTATTTTCGCTGGTGTTCTGGTTCGGGTTGTTAGGATTGGGGCTCAGGAACTGACTACGCGTCTCAAAGTCTTGACAGGTGCGGTTGACGGCCCATTAAAATTATATAATAAGAAGTACGACACCATGGCACGACCATCGTGTGTCTAACAAGAGACTGCGATGCATATCTGGCTTCGTGTTGACCTGCAGCAAGGAGCCGAGTGGGAAGGACGAAGAACTGATTGAGGCGTGGCTGCATGCACACAAATTCAGATACAAAGATAAATACAAATATGAACAGACACATACACACACATGCATACATATGTACATACATACAGCCACAGCGACGGGGACGTGACATAGACGCAACAAAGGATAACAAGAAGGACAGGGGGAGAAGGAAGAACAGAGCAGAGAGAACAGAGTGCGCAAGAAAACAAGAGAAACAGAGACAGAGAGAGAGAGAGAGCGAGAGAGAGAGAGAGAGGGAGAGAGAGAGAGAGAGAGAGAGAGAGAGAGAGAGCGAGCGAGAGAGAGAGAGGAAAGGAACGGAAAGGAAAGGAAAGAGATAGAGAGAGAAGTGCAGCAGTCGAAAAGCCTGGAATGCCGGAGAAAACTTGCGGAAGTCTCCAGAATTCAGCCAAGCGACCATGGCCATCCCTGTCATGACCCCATTGGTTATGGCCTCCAGGATATTCCCGGCCCCGTCGCCTGCGAGGACCTTCAGAGTGTTGGTCCTGTTACTACGACACACACGGCGGAGATGAATCTTTGTGGCTTTGGGGTTTAGGAATTAGGGTTCACCTTAACCCCGAATAACCTACATTTTTATGGACATATATAAGGAAATCATAATAAGGAACCCTCAAAAGGTAGGTTATTCAGGGTTAAGGTAGGGATCAAGGCACTTGCTTGGATCCTGCAGCTCATCTTAAGGCTTCACGTAGAGATTCCACGTTAAGGCCTTCGTTTATGTAGGTGCATGCAGACATACATACATACATTATTCATACATACATAAATACACCTCTGCATACATACGGGATTCTTCAAAACATTCTAACAGGCATCCTTTCAGTGATGCTAGCAACAAAAACACCCACAGGAAGAGAGGTCTCTGTTCTTTTGGGCTGTGGTGTGTTGGCCTGTCGCACTCTCGAGTCTTAGAGTCTTAAAGAGTTCAGCGGGGGTTAGTTTTGCTTGCTTGTAGGCTTGGGAAATAGGAGATTGAACCATAGTTAGTTGTGAAGAGATTCTGAAGATTGGCCGTGCGAGTTAACGATGCTCTCATGGCGCTGAAGATGACAGTGCTGGTCTCCCTTGTGGTAGTCCTTATGGAATCGTACCCGAATGATTCCCATTTCGCAAACAGTCTAGAACCCGAATAGTACAACCCTTGTGGAGCCCTTGCTAACCAAAATAAAATGCCATAAGCCTTAATAAACCCTAACCCTAAACCGTAAGCCCTAATCAATAAACCCTAAACGGCAATGACCGGTAACAGGAAACGATTCCTTCGTGCGGGAGATGTAAGCATCCAAGGCGGTCCTCGGAATCTCAGTCTCCGGATAAACCTGCAGGGTTTGGGGTTTCGGGTTTATAGGATTTGGGGTTTAGGTTTGTGGGACATTATATACAGGATTTATAGGGTTTACGGTGCAGGTTTGGGTTTATAGAGCACTCGCGGCGAATTGGCTTCAAGGTCGAAGGTTTAGGGCTTTAGAAAGTTAGGGCTTAAAGGTTTTGGGTTTCCGAATTTCGGGGATGAGATTTTTGCGGTCAGGGACTTGGGGTTAAAGGAATGAGGCCGCGGCCCGGATCTGGCTTCACAAATGCTTGAGCAGGGGTCGCGAGAACCTCAACGAGCCTGCTGAGTAATTAAGGGCTTCAAACATTAGAATAGGGCGTTTGGGGCGGGAGGGGGGGGGGGGTGGGGAATATGGAAAATTGTGTCACTACTACGTGAAGGAACCCCTGTACAACAACATTTGTAACTATTTTGCACCACATATCATCCGTTGCCGTGCAGGTCTGCAGAAACCTGAAACCTAAACAATGAACCCAAATCCGCATACTGCGTTGGTTCATACACCCCAAGCCCCCAAGCAAACTAAAAAGACAAACCCTTATAAAGCCCCTTAACCCCAAAGACTCTGTCGAGTGTCTAGTACGCTTTATGGAGCCCTTTCAAACAACCCTATAAACACCCTGGAGAGCCCTCTTGGACATCCTATTCCTATACCCTAAGCTATTCCTATACCCTAAGCCCTAATCTACCCAAACCCGTAAACCCTAAACCCCATAAGACCCTATACAAACACCTAAAAAACCCTTAAACAAAAACCCTAAAAACACCCTTTTCAGAAACCCTAAACCCTAAACCCTAAACCATCTACCCTAAACCCTAAAACCTAAACCATCTAAAAGCCCTGGCAAGATCCCAAAGCCACTCGGGTCTCGGACCAGCTTCGCCATGGCTAAGGCGGCCGGAGCCGACATCACGGAGGCGGCGAGGAGGTGGTCCTGGCTCTGTTTCTATGAAGGCGACCTTTAGGGCTTAGAGGGTTTAGGTTTATGAAGGCGACCTTTAGGGCTTAGGGGGTTTAGGTTTAGGGTTTAAGGCTCTGTTTCTATGAAGGCGACCTTTAGGGCTTAGAGGGTTTAGGTTTAGGGTTTAAGGCTCTGCTTCTATGAAGGCGACCTTTAGGGCTTAGAGGGTTTAGGTTTAGGGTTTAAGGCTCTGTTTCTATGAAGGCGACCTTTAGGGCTTAGAGGGTTTAGGGCTCTGTTTCTATGAAGGCGACCTTTAGGGCTTAGAGGGTTTAGGTTTAGGGTTTAAGGCTCTGTTTCTATGAAGGCGACCTTTAGGGCTTAGAGGGTTTAGGTTTAGGGTTTAAGGCTCTGTTTCTATGATGGCGACCTTTAGGGCTTAGAGGGTTTAGGTTTAGGGTTTAAGGCTCTTCTTCTATGAAGGCGACCTTTAGGGCTTAGAGGGTTTAGGTTTAGGGTTTAAGGCTCTGTTTCTATGAAGGCTACTTTAGGGCTTAGAGGGTTTAGGGCTCTGTTTCTATGAAAGCGACCTTTAGGGCTTAGAGGGTTTAGGTTTAGGGTTTAAGGCTCTGTTTCTATGAAGGCGACCTTTAGGGCTTAGAGGGTTTAGGTTTAGGGTTCAGGGTTTAGGGCTCTGTTTCTTGAGGGTCTATAGTCTATAGGGTTTAGGCTGAAGTCTCGTGGGTTTCATCTGTTACAGGCGCCAGCTCACACAGAGTTTGGCAGGCTGTCCGCCGGCACACCGAAGAGGATGTAGGCTGCCATGACGGAGCCGGCAATCGAGGCGAAACCGCTGGTCATGGCCTGAGAGCCGCGAGCCCGAAATGCCGAAGCACCCCGAAGCTAGAACGTACCTTACTCATCAAAGACGACGGTGACATGAGCCCGGGCAAGTGGCAATTCAATTTTCAATCTATCGGGGGAGCATTATGTCCAGCACAAGAATAGCGTCGTAAAGCAAGACATACTATTACATCGGCCCTTGAAAGACCGATGAGTCCAATCTGGGAACTGCAGGTTATCAATTCTGTAAGTACCACTCACAACATCTGATTGAAGTGGTCACAACATGCACATACGAAGAATAGCAATCCATGCTGCTCAAAGAACCAGAAACACCAATGCGGAAAAAAACAGTCATAATCAGTTCATAATATCTGAGACCTCTAAACCCTAAACCTTACTCATACTCAGACCAGCTTGTGCTTCGAGCGGCAGAATGAATCTCAGAGCGGGTCATGTGCACCAGGAAAGGCTTCACGATGAGAGGGGCCTCCACGGTTTTTGGTTTAGGATTCAGGGTTTGCTTCTGCTGGGGCTCCGGTGTTCTGTGAGAGATTTCAACATCCGCATGAATGAAAACAACGGAAGGACTTGCAGTATGCAAAGTTCCTGCGCTTGGACCTTATTGCGCTTGGGACGGCTTAGGGTTTTCGGCTTCAGCAACACTTGGGGAATGATCCTGATGATGATCATTATTAATGTTCTTACCATTGTCACTACCACTTGTTCTGTCTGTGCTAGGTGTGCCAGTACTATTACTGACTATTACATTTTGTCGATAGTAACTATTGTTATTGTTACCATTGGTAATTTTTGACTTTCTTCCGATCAGGTGGCCTCTGTCTGACCCAGAAAGATGTTGGCAGACGCCTGAGCTGCAGAGAACAAAAGCTGGCAGCATCTACTCTTGATTTGAAAAACCAAACACCAGAAGCCCTAAACTCCTGATCAAAGGAGGGCTGTGTTCCCCGTGACGATGCCAACGATAATGCATACACAGATGGATCGAGGGATGGATGTGTGTGTATACATATATATATATATATATATATATATATGCATATATATATATATATAGATATGCATATACATATATATATATATATATATATATATACACATATGTTTTTATAGATGCTTGCTTCCCGGTGTAGTTTTGCGTGGTACTACATGTGTGTACGTAACATGTGTGTACGTACATGCACACTCTAACCCGAAACCCCTAAGCCTAAGCCCTTAAACCCCAGACTCAGGCTCCTCAACTTTGAAGAACTACAGCCCCACAGACGACAACTTAGGCCAAGAGGCGATCAGAGACTCGCAGTAGCCGGTACCCATCGTCTTCCTGGGTGCTTTTATGCGTGTTTTTTGAGGGGGGGGAGGGGCGAATTTGGGGTGCTTGCGTCTCCCTGGAAAGGCTGAATCACCAGCGGTCGGTGCATGGCCGAGTGTTTATGTGGCCTGGCAGACTTCTTGAGCCTGAGATTTGTAGCGTTTCGACTTTGAGCGCTTGTGATGCAGTGCTCAAGGTACTGCATATGGACTTACAGTGCAACGGCTTCGGGTCTCGGACTCACGTTCCAGAGTTGCTCGGGCATGCACCTGGGTTTCGGGGTTTCAGGGTTTGGGGTATTGCAGCTCAGCATCTGCATCACCCATCCGACCCGGATGAAGATCTCTTGGATGATCCCCAGATGATAGCATGCCGACACTACAGAACTGAAGAAGATGATCACGGGAAGGACCTTGAAGGCAAAGAAGAAATCCTTGTAGGATTCGCCAAACACCTCTGGTCGGTATGCACACTCCACAGAAAACACTTCAGGTCTGGGCAATGAGGGTGTTTGTCTTGTTCGCTTTGACCGCTTTGCTCTGCCATCGATACTTCAAAGCAAGGTTCCGCCGAAAGTCACGCCTGCAAAGGTGCTGCAGTCTCCGCCACCAGTACCCTCCAATGCAGCACCGCAGTAGCAGCAGTAGCATCAGCAGCAGCAGAAACAGCAGCATCACCAACAAGAACAACAACAGCAGCAGCAGCAGCCAACACAATGCCCGCAAAGCATTCGCCGCGCGAGCCTCATCAACGCCTGCCCCACTGACTGGCGCTTTCTGAATCAGGATGCCCTACAATCATCCAAAGATACGGCACTCTTGCAATGCATGAGTCAGTGAATCGCGGATCCTACTGCTCAGGAGCTATATTGGGGCCACCGTACTACAGCTCCCAACGAGGAACAGCGCTGGGGCTTGGGCTGCAGGCTCAAACCCTGACCTGAGGTCCGGTGAAAACGCAACTGCTGATGAATATCAAGAATCAAGAACTCTCAGCACAAAGTCCACTACCCCACGCCGAAGCCCTTAAAACACGGCCCCAAACCCTCGAGCCTACATGCCGAACCCTAATCCCTGAGCGGGCATGGCACGAACTCGCTGCCCTGGTCCGTAAAGCTTAGAAATCCAATCACAAGATCACCGAGCTCCTGTCGAAGCCGGCAGCTCACGGCAAACGAGCTTGAGGTATAGGGTTTATAGGGTTTAGGGTTTACCTTAACCCCGAATAACCTGCATTTTTGAGGACTTATATAAGGAAATCATAATCAGGAACCCTAAAAGCGTAGTTAAGGGTTAGGGCCAGTTTAGGGTTTTGGGTGTAGGGTTTAGGGTTTAGGGTTTATAGGCTTTATAGGGTTAAGGGCTTAAGCCTTCGGATCGAAGTCGGCAGTTTAGGGCAACTGGCATAAGAGTTGAACGGTTTAGGGTTTAGGGTTTAGGGTTTAGTGGGGGCGGGAGTCCGGGGGGAGGGAGTCTAGAGTTTAAGGGTGTATAGGGTTTTGGGTTTGGTTTAGGGTTTACGGCCGGGTCCTTCCAATTGGCAACGAACCTCACTTCCACCCCAACTCGGATCGAGCCTATACAAACGAAGCCCAAGCTGCAACACCCCAAATCCGAAGCCCCAGTCTGCTCCTCTAAAGCCCTAAGCCTCAAATCGTAAAACCCTAAAAGCCTTAAACCGCAAACCCTAAACCCCTAAACCCAAACCTAACACCCTAAAACTTTAAAACCCCAAAACCCTGAAGCCTCCACCAACAAAATCAACCCTGAACCCAAGCCTGAACCCCTCAAGCCCCAAAAAGGCCCTGAAGCAAAGCTAAAAACCCGAGTTGTCCCTTAAGCCCTCTGAAAATTGTTTACTATTATGGTTCTCTACACATTACTAGGGGAAATTAAAAAGGATCCCAAAGGACAACCCAGAAACCTAAACCCTACATCCATCAACTCCCAGCTCTAGAGCTCTCCTGAAAGGCCCTGTAGCCGAATGTTGTCTTCATGATCAGAAGACCTTCCCGCACTCTTGGGATTCAGGGCTTCATGGCTCTAGGGATGATAGGGTATAGGGCTTTATGGCTTTAGGGTTTAGGGTTTACAGCGTTGGGGGCTTTGTGGCTTTCTGGCTTTGGGGCTTAGGGCTTTATGGCTTTGGGGTTTCGGGCTTCAAGGCTTTTGGGGGTTGAATATTTTAAGATCTAGGGTTATTTGGGCTTAGGGATTAGTGCTTAAGGCTTTTGGAGCTCCCGGTCAAGGGCTTACTGGAAACCCTTTAGCTCTGCCCTAAACCCTAAACCCTAAAATAATGTAACCCTTCAGCTCTGCACCCTTACTTGGAGGATCCTGGGACTTAGTAAGTATGGTTATAAGTACCTTAGTTGGGGTTATAAGTAATTCTAAGTATAGTCACCTTAATTACATTACCCTAGTTACTAAGTCCCATGGTCCTCTAAGTAGGCTGTCAACCTCAGGCCGAAGAACCCTAAGTCTGAAGACCCCTTCCAGAAAGAGACCTAGGGGGTTAGGGTTTAGGGATTTAGGGGTTTAGGGGTTTAGGGGTTTAGGGGTTTAGGGGTTAGGGCTTTAGGGGTTTAGGGTTTAGGGTTTGGGGGGGTCAGATTCGAAACGACCTTGGGAATTCCGGAGCTGCGCTCCGGGCTCAGGATTCATGCCGCAGGGTCCGCGGGTTTGGGTGACAGGGCCTCCAGGGAGTGTCGAATTTCACAGGACTTCGGGGCTGGGTTTCGTTAGGCTTACCTTAACCCCGAATAACCTGCGTGTTTTGTGGACTTATATAGGGAAATCATAATAAGGAACCCTAAAAAGGTCGGTTATTCGGGCTTAAGGTAGGGTTTAGGGTCTCTAGCAAGATTGGCGGGCTCGTCCGGTGCGATTTTGGGAATAGGCAACCTCAACCCGAATCTTCCCACCGTAAGCTGAATAGATTAGACACAGGCAGGGCTCCTTCAAAGGGTTATATATAAGGGCTTCTTAAAGGGGTTCTATAAGCGTGACTAATTACATGCGGTTCTATAACGGTGACTACCTACATGCTACCATAAGGGTTCTACAATGCAGGGGGCTAGATAAGCTGCGTTCGAGGGTTCTATAAACCTTACCATATGGGCTGGACAATTAGACTATCGGTTCGGGGGAACCCTGTAATATGGTAGTCCTGAAGCCTATAGCTTAAGAAGTTTAGGGCATGGTCCGATCCCCAGTGCGGCCTAAGAGGAACTGCAGCGCAATTCCGGCGACCACCGGTCTCCACCGAACATGAGCCCTCGGCGTGGAATGAATACATGACACGCAACTGGGGCGACCAACACAGTCGCAAGCATCGCAGTTACTAACCGGGGACCTAAGGCCCGGATTCGCAGCTTACGCTTTGGGTTTCGAGAGATTGGGTCTGTTCAGTTCATCGGTGACCTCCAAAATAGACAACGGACAAACAGTGCCTTAAAGAAACCCTTCTAGAACCTTAGAGAACCCTATAGATCCCATAAAGAAACCCTTAAAGTTAAGGGAACCCAAGCCCTAAAACCCAAGATCCCTTTCAAGGAATCCTTTGAAGCATGAAAACTGGCTTCACCCGAGGAAGAAGCACCGCGAGCTCTGACTGTGGGAGATTCGGGTTTAGGGTTGAGGGGTTAAGGGGTTTAGGGTTGAGGGTTTGGGGGTTTAGGATTTCTTGACAGGTCCTTTCTGTGCACAGCAAGACGACTCATGGGAGCTCCTTGCGAAAGTTCGCTCAGCTCCCTTTTGCTTTAATATGCCCAGTCCATATTGGGTGCCAAATGTTGTGGCGCTGTGGCTAGCCCATCGCCGTGACAGGCAAGTGATGGCTAACTCGAGTTAGTTCTCAATTGCCATCCGCTGGATCGCCTAAGTGTCTCGCTTCGTGACAGTCCGCATGAACGATTGCATAAAACCTAAGCTCTAAACCCCTACACCCTAAAGCCTCATCTGCGCGCCGGGATTCCGGTGAGCTGAGCCGAGCCAGCCGAGTAGGACCAAAAGCCCAAGCCCCGTGGCGGGGACGAGGCGATTCCATTCGTCCTTTTGGGGTTTAGGCGTTCTTCCTTATCATCGGGGCGTAGGGTTTAGGTGTTTTGGGCCTTTTGTGGGTTTAGGGCTTGAGACTTTACGGCTTTAAAGGTTTTAGGGGTTTTGGGCCTTTTAGCGGCAACGAAAGGGGTCTTGGGTGGGCTTCTTGGGTTTAGGGTTGTAGTGCTTTGAGTTTTAAAGCTTCGGGCTTTTCGGGAAATTGGGGGTCAAGGTTTAGGCTCTTAGGGCTTGGGGCTTTGTGATTTGAGCTTTTAAGGTTCTAGGGCTCTTAGGGTTAGGATCCTATGTTATACGGTTCTATAGGGTTTAAGAGGTATTCCAGCCGTCCTGCGGTTTTAGGGGGCTTCGGCTTCCCAAGTGTTCCAAAATCGTTTGGGGCTTCAGGATCTCTGGGGGCCTAGGGATGTATGTAAGGTCTAGGCTTAGGGGACTGTCAAGGCTTCTACCAAGGCTCTCGGATAAAAGGTGTAGGGTTTAGGGCTTATAAGGAGCTAAACGGTTGATGATATGAAACCTGCATTGGATTCGGAGTTCAGTCTGCAGGAGTTGGGATTGCGGTCTTCTGGGGCGCTGGGGGTAATTATTAGGGTTGGCGCTTCATTGTGCGTGGGACCAAGACTAAGACTAAGACCATTAAATGCTTGAGCCCTGGCCGTGCTTGGGGTTCAAGACGCAGAAAGCGAGAATGAAGAACCCTTGCATTTTGCGAGTGCCTTGAGGTTAGCGGCGTCGGGTTTTCGAAACCATCAACCACAAATCTCAAGAGCTCGCTCCTTGCTCCAGCAGATAAACAGCAAGGTCAGCAGCATGGCTGCGATGACCATAGCCAGGCCAAGACCTGCCCCAGCGGACCCTCAGCCCTAAACCCTAAACCCTAAGATCTAAACCCTAAACCCTAGAATCTAAACCCTAAACCCTAAACCCAACCCTAAAGCCTAAAACCTAAACCCTAAACCAGGAGCAAGAGCTTCGAAGATCACTGAACCAGGGTCGAGCTTTAGGGGCTTTACTGACTCACACGCTAGACACGAAGCCTCTTAGCGCCGAGCAGCTCCGGCATGCGAGAGCTGCGCTTGGGTAGTCAGGGGATTCTAGGTTTTTAAAGAAAACATAGGTTTTTAGGTTGTTTAAATAAGCCCACTGAAGTCCCAACAACTGATGGCAAATGGATGTTATGATTTCACCATAACAAACCTTGTGCTAAGACTTCATGAGGCAGAGGACACTGTATGCCCTAGTCTTGGTGCAATGCATCTTGCGAGGCTTGGCACAATGGTTTTGGTCTGAGCGAGCGGGGAACCCGCTCCGGAAGCCGCTGCGGAAATGCTCCGGAACCCGCTCCGGAAACCCGGGTTTGGGACCCCTCCGGAAACCCGCTCCGGAACCTGCTCCAGCTCTCCGGAACCCGCTCCGGAACTTTTCCAGAACCCGGAACCGCTCCAGAACCCACTCCGGAACCGCTTCGGAACCACACTGCAGAACCCGCTCCGGAACCCCACTCCGGAATGCGACACTGACTTGAACGTCCTTCAAAAACATCTCGGATACCACGCTGGCCACACGGAACCACATGAAGCATCTCGAGTACCACACTGGCCACACGAAACCACATGAAACATCTCGAGTACCATGCTGGCCACACGAAACCATAAGAAACATCTCGGGTACCGCAAAAACCACACGAAAACGTATGAAAAATCTCGATTACCACGTTGCCCACACGAATCCACATGAAACATCTCGAGTACCACGCTGGCCACACGAAACCACATGAAACATCTCGAATGCCAAGCTGGCCACACGAAACCACATGAAACATCTCGAATAGTATGCTGGCCACGAAGGCACATGAACCATCCAAAGTACCACGTTGGCCACACGAAACCACATGACAAAACAAGAGTGTACTACACTGGCCACGCGACACCACGTACCATATGACACATCTGTAGTAACACCAGACTGGCCACACGAAACCAACTGAAACAACTCGAGCACATGCTGTCCGCGCGAAACCACATGAAACATCTCGAGCACCACATTGGGCACACGGAACCACATGAAACATGTCGACTACCACGCTGGCCATACGACACCACATTATAAATATGTCGATTACCACGCTGGCCACACGACACCACGTGAAACATCTCGAAGACACCTCTGGACCCGGGCCACAGGAAAGCACATGCAACATCTCGAATGCCGCGCTGGCCACACTCAACCACATGACTTATGTCGACGACCTTGCTGGCTACACGAAAAAAATGTCGAATACCACGCCGGCCACACGGAACCACATGAAACATGTCGACTACCAGGTTGGCCACGCGAAACCACAGGAAACATCTCGGGCACCACGACAGCCACACAAAACCACATGATACATCTTGAGCACTACGCTGGCCACACGAAACCACATGAAACATCTCGAATGCCACTCTGGCCACACGGCACCACGTGCCATATGACACATCTGGAGTACCAGGCTGGCCACGCGAAACCACATAGAACATCTCAGGTGCCACTCTGCCGCACGACACCACGTGGCACGCGACACATCTCGAGTACCACGCTGGCCACACGAAACCCCGTGAAGTATCTCGAAATCCACACTGACTGCACGAAACTATATGAAGCATTTCGAGTACCACACTGGCCACGCGAAACCACATGAAACATCTCGAAGACTATATAGGCTGGCCACACGAAACCACATGAAACATCTTTTAGTCGAAAACGATAAAGGCTGGCCACACGAAACAACGTGAAACGTCTCGAATACCAGGAAACCACCGCTCCGAACCCGCGCCGGAACCACTCCCGAACCCACTCCAGAACCTGTTTCGGAGCCCCGCTCCTGCTCCGGAACCTCTGCTGGAACCCACTCCATAACCCGCTCCGATTGCCGGAACCCGCTCCGGATCCCGCCCCAAAACCCACTCCGACCCGCTCCAGAATCCGCTCCGGAACCTGCTCCGGAACCTGCTCCGGAACCCGCTCCGGAACCCTCTCCGGAACCTGCTCCGGAACCTCTCCGAAACCGGACCCACTCCGGAACCTGCTCCGGAACCCTCTCCGGAACCGGAACCTGCTCAAGACTCCATCGCTTCGCTGTTGGGGAAAAATTCGAGTACCACAGCCACGAGAAACCACATGAAACATCTCGATGTCCACGCTGGCCACCCGAAACCACATCCACGCTGGCAACACGAAACCACATGAAACCTGTCGGCTACCATGCTGGCCACACAAAACCACATGAAACATTTCGAGTACCACGCAGGCCACACGGAAACACATGGAAAATCTCGAATAAAAAAAGCCGATCGAACCACATGAGCCATCTCGAGTGCCATGCTGGCCACACGAAATCACAAGGAAAAAGTCGCAGCTCATACGAGACCAATTACCTCGCTGGCCACACGAAGCCACTCGAAAGATGTCCAGCACCACGCTAGCCACCGGAAACCACGTGAAACGTCTCGAGGGCCACGCTGGCCGCAAGAAATCCACGCTGGCCACACGAAACCACATGAAAAATCTCGAGAACCACGCTCGCTATACGAAACCACATGAAATATCTCGGGGACCACGCTGGCCACACGTCACACGTGAAAACACATGAAAAATCTCGAGTGCCACGCTTGCCACACGAAGCAACATGAATTATGTCGCAGAGCACGCTGGCAACATGTAGCCGCATGAAACATCGAAGACTACGCAGGCCACTCGAAACAACATGAACCACACTGGCCACACGAAACCACATCCACGCTGGCCACAGGAAACCACATGGAACATGTCGACTACCACGTTGGCCACACGAAACCACAACAAAAAAAATCGAGAGTACCACGCTGGCCATGCGAAACCTCATGGAACATCTCGAGTACCACATTGGCCGGGCGAAACCACATGAAACATTTCGTGTACCACACTGGCCACACGAAACCATATGAAGCATCTCCGAGTACCACGCTGGCCACACGAAATCACATGAACATCTCGGGTACCACACTGGCCACACGAAACCACATCCACGCTGGCCACACGGAACCACATGAAGCATGTCGACTACCACGTTGGTCCCACGAACCAAATGAAGCATCTCGAGTACCACGCTGGCCACACGAAACCACATGAAGCATCTCGAGTACGACGCTGCCCACACGAAACCACATGAACATCTCGGATACCACACTGGCCACACGAAACCACATCCACGCTGGCCACACGGAACCACATGAAGCATGTCGACTACCACGTTGGTCGCACGAACCAAATGAAGCATCTCGAGTACCACGCAAGCTACACGAAACCACATGAAGCGAGTACGACGCTGGCCACACGAAACCACGTCCACGAAGGCCACATGAACCCCCATGAAACATCTCGACTACCAGACTACCACACTGGCGACACGAAACCACATGAAACATCTCGAATTCCACGCTGGCCACACGAAACCACATCAAACAATTCGAGTACCGCCCTGGCCACAGGAAGCCACATGAAACATCTCGAACGCCAATACGCCAAGCTGGCCACACGAAACCACATGAAGCATCTCGAATAGTATGCTGGCCACGAATGCACATGAAACATCCAAAGTAATCACCACGCTGGCCACACGAAACCACAACTAATGTCGACGACCTTGCTGGCTACACGAATAACATCTCGAATACCACGCTGGCCACACGGAACCACATGAAACATGTCGACTACCAGGTTGGCCACGCGAAGCCACAAGAAACATCTCGAGTACCACATTGGCCACACGAAACCACATGAAACATCTCGAGTACCTTGCTGGCCACACGAAACCATACGAAACATCTCGAGTACCGCAAAAGCCACACGAAAACATATGAAACATCTCGATTACCACGCTTCCCACACGAATCCATATGAAACATCTCGACTACCACGCTGGGCATGAAACATCTCGAGTACCACACTGAGCTCCAGAACCCGCTCCGGGTTTAGGAGCAGGGGAGCAGGTACCTGCTCCCGCTCCGGAACCCGCTCCAGAACCGGCTCCGGAACCTGCTCCGGAACCCGCTCCGGAATTCGCTCCAGAACCCGCTCCGGAACCCGTTCTCTCCAGAACCTGCTCCGGAACCTGCTCCGGAACCCGCTCCGGAACCCTCTCCGGAACCTGCTCCGGAACCACCGGACCTGCTTCGGAACCCTCTCCGGAACCTGCTTCCGGAACCCGCTCCAGAACCCGCTCCGGAACCCGCTCCCTCTCCCCGCTCCGGAACCCGTTTTCTCCAGAACCTGCTGGAACCCGCTCCGGGAACCGTTTCGGAACCCGCTCCGGGAACCGTTTCGGAACCTGCTCCGGAACCTGCTCCGGAACCCGCTCCAAAACCCAAGGGCTGAAGACCCCGTCGGTTCGCTGTTGGGGTAAAACCTATGTTCTTTAAAAAAAAAACCTAAAGAACCAGCTCCATCGTGCGAAGCTTCTGCAACTGTTGTTCCTTGTTCAGGCCTGCATACCACCAACTTCCACAAAAAACGCCAAACACACCCTATCCAGACACAAAGGGAACCCCACTTCTATTCACTCAAACCCCACCCCCTAAACCCTATAAACCCTACCTTCCCTTACTCCGCCCCGAGGTCGGAGCCTGACGGACAGCGAGCACACCGCCTCTGGAGGGGTGCCTGAGGGCTACAACAACGAAAATGATTTCGGTTTAGGGCTCCTTTTTAAGGGTACAGTACTAGGGCTGGCTCTGTTATTGGGGTTCCCCTTAGGGGGTCCAGGGCTCACTGTAAGGGTACTATAGTGTTCTATAAATATGGTTCCCTTGGCTTCTTGTCAATGAATGCATCATAGGGTTCCATAAATAGCGTTTTCCTCTCAGGCTCCCTGCGGGTTTGCTGCAGATTTGCAGCGCAGCCAGTCTCAAGTATCGGTTCAACGGTTCTGGCTGAAACAACTGGGTCTGGCACAGAAGAAATTTGACGAGAGAAGCAGGGCACAACCGTGTGCGTAAAGCTGAACCAGACACAGACGCATGAAGCACAACTCAATACCCGGAACCCTAAACCCTAAACCCTTCTGACAACCATACTTGAAATTGACGGAAAGCCCTGCAAAGTGCAGCTGTGGCCACTAGAAGCCCCTCCAAGTCCACGCCCGTGGAGGTGGAGATGGCATCCCTCGGTTTCAAAGATTTGCTACACAGGGCCTGTAGGGTTAAACGATGTTCAACGTTTAGGTTTGGGGCTTACGGCCTGGGGCTTAAGTTTTCAAGCTTAGGATTTAGGGCTGCTTGTTTCGACACTCCGAGCTAGTACCTAATGATGTTAATGTCATCCCTGTGATGGCGGGGAGATGTTTCATGCTTGCACGCCAACTCCGGAGCGCATGTTTCAGCAAACCGCAAACCTCCAACTTCCACCCTCAACTCTCTTTTTGCTGTTCTGTTTGAGCCATTTATCTGAGACTTCGCAACTGCTCTTCCTGCAATCCTTGCGGTCAGCTTCATTCGCCACATGTTTCTGGAAGTCCCATGATTTCCGCTGTGTTGCTACTCCTCCTCGGGGCTGTTTTCAATAACTCCTGCCAAAACTATGGTTACTTCTAGTGTTGCTAGTATAATACATGACAGCTGCTGCTGCGGCTGCTGCTGCTCCTCCAACCACCACCACAACCGCCACCACCACCAGCACCTCTACTGCTACCACTACTCACTACTCAGAGCTGCCCGGATGATGACGACGAAAACTTTCAGCACCAGTGGTTTCAATAACTACATCACGGCTGTGGGGATCACGAAGTCGTTTCGGCAAAGGCCGGAACTCACAGTTGCGTTAGCACTCTCCGCCAACTTAAGACACGGCGTTTAGTCTTTAAGCTGCTCTTCCCAACCAGCCAACCACTGACTGCTGTTCAGCTTGCCTGCCCAAACCTGTTCCCAGCGGCGTGAAAAGAAGGCTGTAGGCCGAGCACCGATGTCCATGTCTACGAAGCTTTGACTCTAACCGATTCGAAGCAATGTGAAATACGTGGGTAGCCACACCCATGTTCTAGGGGCCGAAATAACTACCAATACTATTGTTGGGGTTCCTGCTTATGAAATATTGGTAGAATTGGCCCCCAAAACCCTACTCTATGATTATTCAGGCTCCTATATTCAAGGATCCCGCAGTTGGCTGAGCCATGACACCACGCTTGAATCAGGAAGAGCGCCAGGACCAGCAGAGACAGCGGAAGCGCTCTCGAGGCGTTGTGAATCAAAGCCACCGTGAGGTATCCTGAATGGGGGTCCAGGGTTTGGGGTTCAGGGTTGAGGGTTTAGGGTTCTGGGTTGAGCAGGGTTAGGGACTGCGTAGCCATCGGAGCAGAAAATGACATGAAGCTTGCCTGCAATCATACTTTCCTATGATCTGAGCCCTTCGCAGTGTAACACATCTGACATGCGCCCAGTACGCTCACTCACAGCATTCGGCAGTCTGAACCCTTGATGAGTTTGGGGCTCTGGGGCATACCTACGTAATCCAAAAGCTTTAGTCTGAAAGCCAATTCGAATGCCGGTCGAGGATTCGAGGTGCTGTGTAGAGTAGTTGTATTCAGGGTTTGGGGCTTTGGGGTCCATCGCATTTGGCCTCATGAAGCCGGTAACACCCAAAACCCAGCACCTGCAAACACAAAGCTTAACCCCTACTGTAAGCCCTAAGCTTGCTGCAAGCACCCTGCGGGTACAAGCCTACTTGGACCCCCATTCCAAAACCCAAACACCGCTGATCCCCATTCCCCGCGCGTGTTGGCGCTCAGCCTGCCATCGCAAGCCAAAACAGCGCCCTCTTCCATCTCGCCTTGAGCCTTACAATGGTCTATTCTATTCTGCTATATCATATGTCATTCTTGAGCTTCCGCTAAAGCTTTCTTGGGTTGAGGCTCTTCCGTGGCTGGGTTTGGAGTCGGCGTAAGAGCCTTAAGACCAGTATGGTATATTAAGCAAACAGAAACTCCAGCTTCCTTGCAGACAACCCCCACTTCCGACTCCCATGTCCCTACTCTAAAACCCTAAACCCTAAACCCGCTTGCAGCGGCTGTTGTGCCGCAGGCCCTGTTCTGAGTTGTTCTGAAATCTAGGGGTTTAAGGGTTTCAGGTAAACCGCAAGGGGCTTTGAGACCTGCATGGCTAGACGTCCCTCTTGAGAGGGGAGCCCCTAGAAGGTTTCGCACGTGATCGCTTGGGCTACAGGGCTTTTGGATTTCGGTTTGGGGAACCCTAAACCCTAAACCCCACATTTTGTTACCAGCTTCCAGTGTCGTGGCTTTAACTCGGGAATACCGTCGTCCAAGCTCCCGTCACCCTACGGAGTTTGGGGTTTAGGGTTTCGGTCCTAAGCCCCGCCACCGAAACTCAAATCTCCCAAAGCTCAAACGCTTGGTCTCTGTGCCAAGTTGCCAAGCCGGGCAGCAACTGCTCTGGACGCTGTCACCTCTGCGCTCGCAAGCTCCGGGGCTTTTCGGACTGCGGCTGTTTGGGACTGTCGAGCTTGTCACCTGGGGAATAGGGGACCCTAATATAGTACCCTGAATAGTAGGATCCTTGTGATAAGGACCCTAAATAAGGTACCCTCTAATTTTCGCTACGGTCTTCCGTCCTTTTGCTTTCTTCATCGCGAACAAACTGTATCTGGGCCTCATCTGGTGTCCGATGCTACACCCGAACACCCAACCCCTTCACCCCAAGGCCCGAGCCTCGAAATATGTGGGTGGTTGTCAAAATTTGGGTCCCTTTTGGGGTCCTTATTATGATACGGCACCTATTACTTAGGGTACCCAAAAAAGTGACCCTAAGTTTGATAACTACCCATGTGGGCTGAGCCAGAAATCGCGAGGTTCCGCAAGTGACGAGCTGAGACTTGAGGATTTGGGGCTTTCCGAAATTAAGGGGTACCAGTTAGGTACGGCCCGAATACAGTAAGAGTGTATAATAGGGCTACTATTAAGGTCCTACTATATCTATATTATGAATATATTATTCAACTATTACTGAGTGGGGGCCGTACCTAAGGTACCAGTACCTTGCTTTGGGGGGGTCCTGATAATAGGGATCCTACTATCTAGGGTACTATGTTAGGGTACCCTATTTTCGGAAACTCCCATTTTGGATGTACTGCAGAAGTTTGCAGAAGCGTTTTCAATCCCATCCTCCAGATCCGAAACACCAAAAAGCCCCAAAACCCCTAGAACCTTAAAACCCAAACCCGGAACCCCGAAGCCCAAGCTCTAAACTCTAAAGCTCTACATCCTGAAGTCCCGAACCCCGACCCTTGAAACCCAGCTGGATGCGACCAAATCGCTGCTTCCTGCGAGACCTCCTTTCTTAGGCGAGTACTGCCCCGAGCAGAGGGGCCTGGCTGCTACCAGAAAAGGTTCAGGAAACGAAAGGGTCTCTCTTTGAAGGGATCTATAGGGGCTACTATAAGGGCTACTTTCAGGAGTAGGATTATAGGTCTTTAGAGGGTTCGAATAACAGAGCTACTATCAGGGCTACTATACGGTTGACCATGCGAGTTACCATAAGTTAAGGGTTATATGATGTAGCTTGGGGCTCGGACTCTGTGCGACCTATGCCCTAGAGCTTAGTCGGCACCCTCGTCCCTAGACAACGGAGAGTCTGGAGAGGGGGCCTCGTGGGAAGCGAAACACTGAAAACAACAAATCAATCAACAAAGATAAATGGAGATAGCATACAAGTTCATATCTATATCTATAGATCAATATCTATATCTAAATGTAATGGCATAGCAGGTGCCCCAGCCGAGGCGCTTTGGTTTGGAGATCTTTCGAGAGCGTGGTCATCTTTGGGGTTTGGACCTTAGCACCTGAATGTCAGAATAGGGTCTTCGGCTCCCATATGGAACCCTGAGGCACATCATTAGCAATTAATTATGCAAGTAGCCTTCAAGAAAACGAGATACAAGTCCAACAGCTCAGGATACAAACGGCTTGACCTTGCAAGCTTACACTACCAGTATGAGGCTCAGGCTTCTACAGCATGCATGCGCTGACTGCTAAACATGCTGACAATGGCTGGGTTGCCATTGGCGGGTGCTTGACACGGCTACCGGGGCGAGAGCCTACATCAGGACTGAAGGCCCAGATAAAGATTAGACAGGTTTAGGGTTTAGGGTACAGGATGAAAAGTAAAATGCCAATGATTTGCGCTGACATCGGTGGCAGAGTCCAGTAGAAGCTGTATGCAACACAGAAGATCCTCCTACCTTCAGAATTCCCGTCATCACTCATAGCATCATCCTCGTTTTCAGCATCATGGACCATCATCATGGTCAGCATCATCATCGCCACTAGCCTTGGCAGCATCGCCAGAAAGCAGAGCTATACTGCCTGGACCAATGCGCTCTACGACCCCGGGAAGACCTCTCTCCATCATCGCCATCGCTGGGTACAGCGCGGCTCGGAGCTCCAGGAGGGACCAACTCAGGAACAGCAAAAGGCAGCTTAAAATCGGCACCTAAATAATTACCAATACTATTTTGGGGGTTCCTTATAATCAGTACAGCAAAGCGGGCCGCAAAACCCTATTCCAATTATTAAGGCCGCCCCATTAGGAGGCTCACAGGCCTGCCTCTTGGGGTCTTCTTTAAGATGCTTTACCTCGAAGGGGCACGCTCGGGAGGTTCGAGGCATGCTTCTTTGGGCGGTACTCTGCGCGCCACTCAGGGGATTCGTGTCTCGAAGCATCAAAAGCACTGATTCGCAGGAATAGAGCTATCAGCATGCTGCGTACCCCTGTTGCGGCTTACGGCTGATGTGCTCAACATGACGACGAAACAGAAAAGCAAGAGGACACCCACGTCGACAATAAAACGAGACGAGTACGAGTATGATAGTGAGAATGGTACTGACTAGCATTTCCGAGATGGTTAACTGCTGGCTACGGGGATTCCATGGTTTCCACGAAGTGCAGTTTATGCGCCGGAGGCCCTACACTGACCATGATGGTCATGTGATGATGACAATGATGACGAGGATGGCGATGCAGAATATGAAGACGAAAGCGACGACGAAGACGAGGATGAGCGTGAGGTGATGATGATGCTGACGACGTTGATGATGACGACGGCGACGACAAAATGCTTCAATATTCTGCCTCTCACAACATCAACTGCTACTATCGTCCTGCTCGACACCTCCAACCCCAAGCTCCCTGAATTTGCCCAAGCGAGAGATTACTGTGCCAGCTGACGGCCGAAACAGGACTCCCCAGAAAATCATCCCCCCCCCATCCTCAAATAGTGCAGAACAAAAAGAACACAACTCATGATGAGAAACACTCAAGCCAAATCAACCCAACTCTTTGCAAATGGGGTGGTGGGGCTTCTCTGGGTTTGGTGTTTACCAGTGTGCATACCAACCCACCACCGTCACGACCACGACCACAGCAGCAACAACACCAATAACAACAACAATCGATTATGACAAGTCTGAGTAATAAATGATATATATTTTGCATAGTGCGAGTTGCATCCAGGCTGTTCTCAACTTCCGACGACGCCATGTGCCAAAGCTCAAACCAAAAGGGGCAGGACTGTGCTAGAGTGGTGAGGGTGTCAAAGGCCGCATTACTGGACGTGTTAGAGTTTGGGGTAGCTTCCATGACAGCAGGCGGACATCCACATCGAGTGTTGACTGCACAGCTTGGGCTCGTGCTGTCGGGCTCAAAAACTATATAAAGTTGTAGGATAATATCAACACAAAGCTCGCACGGATGTCATAAGACTCGGCTATCCGAGTTCCGTGCTAACCTGCTTCGAGACATTGGCATCTTGTCAGTAGGGTTTGGGGCTCAAGGGAGTCTGTTCAAGATTCTTTTCACTTCAGGGGTAGAGCTTGGCGAGGCTGGCGTCGAAGCACATAGGTCGGCCCGATAATTGCAGCGGGGAGCTGGTGCGAAATTGCCGTACCCAGAGTATAGCAGTAGCAGTTGCAGTAGCAGTAGACTAGTGGTCGTCGTCGTAGTAGTCGTAGTGGTGGTAGTGGTAGTAGTAGTAGTAGTAGTAGTAGTAGTAGTAGTAGTAGTAGTAGTAGTAGTAGTAGTAGTAGTAGTAGTAGTAGTAGTGGTAGTAGTAGTAGTAGTAGTAGTAGTAGTAGTAGTAGTAGAAGTAGAAGTAGAAGTAGAAGTAGAAGTAGTAGTAGTAGTAGTAGTAGTAGTAGTAGTAGTAGTAGTAGTAGTAGTGGTAGTAGTAGTAATAGCAGCAGCAGCAGCAGCAGCAGGACTAGGAGGAGGAGGAGGAGGAGGAGGAGGAGGAGGAGGAGGAGGAGGAGGAGCAAGAGTAGCAGTAACAGTAGCTATAGGAATCGCAGCAGCAGTAGCAAGAAGCAGCAGCAATAATGGCAGCAGGAGCAGCACAAGCAGTGGCAACAGTAGCAGCAGCAGTACTGCTTCCAGAAGGGATACTATGGGTGTACAGGTAGTACCTGAAGTGTTGCGGCCGTGCATCAAATCAGAGGCGGCTAGGTACAAGTCTAATCAGAAAGTGATAGCAACATCCTCAGAAAGACAGCCGTGCACACTGAACGAGAGCCTGGATATGACCTTTCAATAGAATTCAGAATGGCAGTTGGCCTTGCACCCGGACTTCCACCCACTTAACCAAGAAAGCCCGAAGCCTCAACACTCACATCTCTCAGCTCCGACAAGTCGGGTTGAGGCCGTGTGGCTACGCTTTGCTTCAGGTTCCAGGCAGTCGGAACAGCTTTTGTTTCGCGAACAGCTCAGCTGGCGCTCTACTCAACAAAATCGTCATTTTCTGAACCTCCCGCACTTCACCGGAGATCCGAATCCCGAAACGGTAGAGCCCCCGTACCGAGATCAAGTGCTGGGGAGGTTCAGAAAAGCGAGAGCTATCCAGTCAACTCCCTTCAGGTGATGAGTCTGGAATTTCATGGTTGCAGCCCCCCGGTGCCCCCTGCCCCTGTCAGCTCCAGTATCTAAATCCCGAAAATCAAGAAGACCTCAATCTAAACCAACCGCCCCAAGTCTCCAAAACCCCAGCCGTGAGCCAGAAACCTAGTCACTTAGCCTTAGCAAGCCATGCCTACCCTGCCAAGCATTGACTCACGGCTTCTACAATTCTAGGGAGAAGTTGGGGTTCAGGGTTAGGGGTTTTCCCGTTAAGGATTTAGGCTTGGGGGCTCAGGAACAAGGTCTACGTAGGCAGTTACATGTAAAGGATTTATGTTTTACAGGTAAGCTTTAGCGGAGTTTGTCGCTCAGGGCAGTGTTAGGCTGCGGGGTTGGGACATAGGAATACTGCAAATCCCTATAGAAGCCTTGAAGGGGGCCTTTAAGGAACCCTACCTTAACCTACCAAACCCTACTTATTTGTAGGGTCCCTATAAACTCCATATTAGGGTTCATAATAAGCACCGACAAAAAAGTAGGGTTTGGTAGGTTAAGGTAGTTACTAAGTCCCGTACAGTGGCCTCTTGCGGCCTTCAAGCTTCAGCTTCACGGTTTTTATCAACTCGAAAACCCCAGGCACAACACCCGAAAGCCCATACCAGGACCCCCGAATGGCCTTTGATGGAATGCTTGTGGTCCGTAATGGTGGGTATTTAGCTTATGGGGGGTCTAAGTAGGACCCAAAACCCTATACTCCGAAACCCTGTAACCCTAAACCCTACAACCCAAAGCCTGTGAAGACCCTATATGCAACCCTAAACCCTAAAATTACATCCTGCATTAAAGCCGATGCCGCGCGGGGTTTAGGGTTTAAGAGACTACTGCAAGCATATGATGGTGGTCCCAGAGGACAGGGCGCTTGCAGACAGTACTAGCAGGATTCGTGACAATACAAAGGACTGGCAGAGAGGAGGCTGTACATGTCGGACGTTCGATTTAAAGGATTCGTTCTGCTAAAGTTGGGTCTCGAGCCCCGGCACAAGTAGGCAAAAACCCCTACCTAAGTGCAAAAGCCACCTACATCCTGAAGCAGCCATTGTTGAGGGTTGAGGGCTTCGGCTCGACCCTAAAACACAAAAAAGACGGACCCCACAGGTTTCTGCAGGTTAGGATTTTGGGGCTGGAGCTCAACATGTTACCATTCCTCCAGCTGCAGGGGGGCCTGCTGAAAGAGGGGCTGCCTTCTGGAACCTGCAGACGCCTTTGCCGCTTGCAGGTTCCAGGGTCGGTTCTTGGAAATCCTTACCTTGGGTTAGTAGGGAATGGAGGAATGGGGTACAAGTATAACTACTATAACTACCATTCTTCCATTCCGTACTAACCAAAGGTAAGAATCTCCTTCTTCGGGAACTAAGCCCGAAGGCTTGAGCTCTCAAGGGTTTCTTCAAGCGTTCTTTTCGGGCACCAGTACGGGTTCTATGGGGAGTGCCATGACCGCTTGAGGGTAAAGTTTTGGGTTCACAGGTTAGGGCAGCTAGGAATTTAGGGTCCCGCCAAGAATCTCAATACTCGAAAGAACCCTAAACCCTAAACCGCAAATTTTCCTTCGTTTCAGAGCTCAGGGGCTTCATCAAGCCTTGTGCCGAAAAGCATTGGGGGCCGTTCTGCAGGAGGCGAACTCCATTTTGAGAAACCCTCCTCTTCAGACTTCCAACCACTGGGCGTAGGTAGGCTTTGGGGCTTGGAGCTTTCACGCTTTGTAAGGCTTATACAGGGCTCTTATATTCTTGAAGGTCTTCTTTAAGGGTTCCTTTAGGGCTCCTTTATGGGATCCTTGAAGCTGTGAGACCCAAAGCCTTTGGTCAGTGCAAAACGCCAGCGAGCTCCTCGATTTGCACCTTGCCGTTTCCGTCTTTGTCCGCCGCCAGCAGCCTCGAGACCATCTTCTCACGTCCAAGCAGCTGAAGCACTGGAGTAGATGATGGCTGTAGTCCTAATAAGGAGCCCTGAGGAATAATGCTGGTAGTTCTTCCAGCTTCTGTATATTATGGTTGGGACCGAAACCTGGACGCCGAAGCCCGACCAAGTTGAAAGGGTCCTTCTTGCTATCGGAATCCTGGCATTCGAGGAAAGCTTCTTCTTCTGCGTGTACAAGGGCCCAGAGGTCGGACCTACCGTTACAGAAGTCAGCGGATAAAGCTGATTATCATGCCAGGAACTTTTTAGGATGCATGTTCACAGCACCAAATCCTCGTATGTAGGGGCCTGAAGCATTAGAATAGGGTTTTGGGGGCTCCTTACTGCAATTATGGTAAAATACAGCCCCAAGTCCTATTCTAATTGTTCCGGCCCCTACAGCACATGCCTCTGAGCCCCGCAACAGATCACTTGCTTGGAGGATCATGGGACTTAGTAAGTATGGTTACAAGTACCTTAATTGTGGTTATAAGGAACTATAAGTATAGATAGTTACCTTAATTATAACCCTAGTTACTAAGTCCCATGATCCTCTAAGTGCAACTGGGAGGCAGCTGGTGGGCTAAGGAGCCGGAGGCATTGCCAGGAAGCCGCGTCCGGAGAAAGCTCTCCACCTTGCGGGCTATATATATATATATATATATATACACACATATATATATATATATAGGTATACATATATATATATATATATATATATGGCTGCTTCAGAGATGGTAGGTCTGAGTGGTTCAGCTCGTAAGGTTTGGGATCCAAGGATGGGAATTTGGGATCTGCGAGTGTGTGGTTCGAGATCCAGTGTTGAAGGTTTGGCGTTCCGACTTGCCTCTGGAAAGACAATGTTCAGTCCCCAAGGGTCCAAAGGACCCAATAATTAGGTACTCGGGTTTAGGATAGTAGTTATGTAGCTCAATATTTAGGGGAGTATATGATTATTAGGTACTTGGACCCTTAGAAAGTCAGTATCGAATCGGGTGGGATGTCTGAGAGAAGCCTCCCTTTGCTACCCTTGGGATGGGTGGCAAAGGAAACAGTCCCAGTCTAAGCTTCTGGATTAAGGCTGCAGCCAGTTCTACTTCATCAGCCATTTTCTGATTCGGGGCACTAGATCGAAGCAGAACCCTAAACCCTAAACCCCAAAATGGGACGAGAGATATCAGATACAGCCTCTGCGTTTCGGACTTCGGGGTTGCAAAACGAGAATGGCGCTGGCCTTCGGATTCGGGGTTCCAGGAAATCAAGAGGTCTATAGCTTTCGGATATCGGGCCATCCTAACCTAAACCCCTAAAACCCATAAAACCCCTAAAACCCCTAAACCCCTAAACCCCTAAACCCCTAAACCCTAAACCCCTAAACCCCTAAACCCCTAAACCCCTAAACCCCTAAACCCTATAATGCCTAAGTTCAAGCTCGAGGGAAGCCTCTCGGTTGTGGCCTTCCCTGTTTCTGGGGCTCCGTGTTTTCTCGTTTCGTCACTCCTACTGCCCTAGGTTTAAAGGTTTAGGGTTGAGGGTTTAGGGCTTCTACCTAACATAGGGAACGAAATCAGTACCGATATCATTTTGGGGTTTCTTGTTGTAGTATAACCAATCGCAAAAACCTTTTTGTTCGAACTACTATCTAAGTATAATCTTGCAATTAAGGCCAAAAGTACGTGCACTACCCTGCCCTGTAAGGTTTAGGGCTGTTTGAGGTATAGGGGTCTGGGGCCTCAGGGTTTAAACTACAACCGCACTGCTCTTCGCTGGAGTGCCGTGAGTTGGGCTTGCGAGGCATGCTATTGCCGCTCTCGGATACTACGGCTACGTCTGCTTCAGAATCATCAGTCTTGCTGACATGCAAAATGTGGATAGCACCAGGAAATGTCTTGCGCTTGTCAACCTTTGTTGCTTCTTGCGGCAGCGCGCTTTCAATTAATCCTATGCCTGGCGCAGCCCTCGACGCTCATTCCCGGCCTCAGCGCTGTCGGCCAAGCCACCTCAGCTCACCCGAGGGTTTAGGGTTTAGGGTTTAATATAACTATCATGTCAGAAAACTATAGAAATACCACCACACTACTGTACTGATAAAGGCCACTTCTGGGGCTTGGGGAGTCTTCTCAAACGCTTTGCTTCAGACCGGAGAGTCTAGACTTCTGGGTTTGGGTTGACCGAAGGATCCCCGAGCCCTGGGCGCGGGGCCCGGCGAAAGAGGATTATCCTCGAGAGCTAGGAGCTTGCGCCCTGCACAACAACAAATATGACGATGCAAAGTATGTTGGTCCACGCTTTCTAGTACTAGAATAATACTATTATGGTACTAGACTAATACTATTATAGTACTATAACAGCACTAACGATGAAAGCCAAAAGCCCCGGGAGCCAGCTAGCCTAGAGCCGGCCAGCAAGTTAGAGGACATGTGTGAGGTTAGGGTCTCGCCAGCATAGGGTCTTTGAAGTTTCTCACAGCAACGTGGACCCCAAAGCACTATCATTGCCATTAAAGTACAATAAACTCGTTATTATAGTACTAGAATAGTCAATGTCGTTATAGTAATAGAGTCGTACTATGACAATACTACTATAGTACAATAAGAGTACTATTATAATACTAGTTCAGTACTATAACCTCAGGACTTGACCGGGCGTTCAACATGATTCCAATAATAGGCTCGCAGACGCTGAAGGGCCTGATGAGGCATCCAACACGCATAGTACAAACTAAAATAAGTATACGATTCTGCTATATACTTTAACAGTGTACTGTTATCGTACATACTAGAATAGCGTGCTATCAGAGGCTTCCTGGAAAGCTTCCGGAGCGGCCTAAGTCCCATCCTGAAGAAAAATACAATGTGTAGTTCAGCACTGCCTTTTGTTCTGCTGCTATTGCCAGGTAGGAAGCAGAGCTGCAGTGCGGAGTATCATTGCCCCTCGTTCTGTACACTGCGTTCGTGTACGAGACTGTGCAGCAAGTCGGCCGTTCTGTTCTGTACACTGTACATGTGCAAGGTTGGCAAAACATTGAACCCTGCTTTGGGCAGCCTGAAAAACCTTTCCAAGCACCGGATGCATTCTTGAGTTAGTAATTGGCGATAGCGAAAATCACGATGACTATCGCGATTCGGATAACAGTCATAGCAATAGCAAGAGTAATAGAACGAATGCTTGTGTGAAATACATTGTGATTACTTTACGAGAACACTAAACAAGTACTACAATAGCTGGGTTCAGTCTACTGTATGCCTTTCAGGCACACGGCTCAGGCGCAAGTTCAGAGAAACGCACTTGCTGCATGAGGCCTTGGTTTGCGAAGCCTAGCTTTTCGTAGAGGCGCTTGGCACCATGCGCTCCGCGTGGATCCGCGTTGAGGCACGTTCTCAGACCTGGGGTCGATGTCGTTTCGCAACAAAGGGTACAAGAAATGCAGACCATGCAGCACATAGCATACTAAGAGGCCCAAGGGACTTAGTAAGCAGGTTATAAGTATAGGGTTATAAGTACCCGAAGTGAAGTTGCCCCAATTATAACCCTACTTATAACCTCCTTGCTAAGTCCCCTGGGCCTCCAAGTAAAAAAGCATGGCATAGCAGGACATCATGATAGAATACCGCACTGTGTACTCAAGGTCTGCTTATCCCGCCTCGCTCGTTGAGGGCAGCCCCAATCGTTGCGACCAACGCCGCGGCGCAGCCCCGCCTTCGGTGCGGTGGCGATGTGTACACCAGTTGGATCCCACGCCCAACATCTGCCAGAGCTCTACCAGCAGTCGAGACGGCAGCAATGTCAGCGCCCACTTGCCACACATAAACTTCGCATGTGGCAATGAAAGCCTCCATGGCCTGTCGGTGCGATTCCCGTGTTTCTTGAGGGTCATACAGGCCGACATCCTTTTTGAAGGCCACATGGTAGTCCGTGAGCTTTTCGACCACGGCCTCCTCCGCCAAAAGCACGTCGTTGCAGAGGCCGGCGGGCACAGCTTGAGGCGTTTCCTGAGGTTTAGGGTTTAGGGCTTAAGGGTTTAAGGTTTAGGAGTTTCGATAGGTAGCTGCAGCTCCTTGTAGCCGAGGTTCAGGACAGGAGGTCTACCGAAGGGGAACTACTTCACTGGGTTCACTCAACCCGGGGGTTTTGCCGCGCCTTCACAGGGAGCACGCGAAGCATTTGCCCAGCTGGGGGGTCTCCGACTGCAGGAGAGGATGAGAGCTCCATGGCCGTCACAACCATCTTGGGAGTCCAGGAAATGGCCTTTGCGGCAACTTTTGCCTACAGAAATAGAAGTGAAGAGGGACGGCAGAAGAAAAGCTGCGGTGCTCTGTTTTAAAATTAGAATAGGGTCTTGGGGGTACATCATACTATAAGTATAATAAGGAACCCCCCAAAACAATTTAGGTTATCATAATTAAGGCCCCTACGTTATAGTACCCTTATGGGTATCCCTTACAGACCCCTTCAAAGGAACCCAAACAAGTATAATAGGAACTTATTAAGGCCCCTATATTTAACCCGAAGTGGCCGGGCGCAGCTTCTGCAGAGCCCGCGCCGCCTCTTCGACAACTTCATGAGGGCCGTAGGCTGTCGTGATCATCCTCACCAAACTGCACATGTTGGGTTTAGGGTTTAATAAGGTTTAGAGTTTACGTTTAGGATCTAATAGGGTTTAGGGTTTTGGGTTTATAAGCTTATGTAGCATGATAATGACCCCGGGGTCCTTATAATAAGAATCCCACTATTTGGGGTGCTATATTAAGGTCCCCTCCGATATGTTGGGCTGAGGGTTGAGAGTTTAGCCTTTAAGGTTTGGGGAGGGGTCCAGTCTAGGAGTTAGGCTTGAATGAAGGCTTAAGAGTTCCTTCAAGGTTTACGGTGACGACCTTTAAAAAAACCCTCGAATACAATACAAAAGCTGCCACCCTTAAAACATCTTAAAACCTTAAGCTCCTTACATCCTCAACCTTAAGGCGCTAAACCCTAAACCCCAAGGTTACTCTTGACTTCCACATCTTCCTCGCCAGCTCAGGGTGGACCATGGAGAGAGCCTCTTCCACCCAAGCTTCCTTCAAGGCCCATGGAAACCCCTAAACCCTAAACCCCTAAACCCCTAAACCCTAAACCCCTAAACCCCTAAACCTCTAAATCCTAAACCCCCGAAGCTCCAAACCCCCGAACCCCTAAACCCCAAAGATCCCCCCAAACCCTAAACCCTAAAACCCTTCCTTGAGCTCACCTCCCATGGTCAGGGCGAGCTCGGGCTTTGCGCCCTGCGGTCCGGGCGAAAGCACCAGGACCCCCCGGGCCCGTGGCCCATGGAAGCTGAAGAGTTGCTTCACCTAGGCTTTCTGTTTAGGATTTAGGGTTTAGGGTTTCTGTTTAGGATTTAGGGTTTAGGCTTTCTGTTTAGGATTTAGGGTTTAGGGTTAGGGGCTTAGGGGTTTAGGGGTTTAGGGCTTAGGGTATAGGCTCTATAGGGTTTAGGGGGCTCAAGGCTTTGAGAGGGTATAGGCTTTAGGCTTTAGGGGCTCCAGCCGCTTCAGTTTCAAGTTGAGGGGCTTAGGGTGTCGCGTGCGCTCCCAAGTTCTGGACCGCCTCTTGAGGTTGTTTCGGGTGCCAGATACGTAGGGTAATCTACCATGGTATAGTCTTCGGCAGTAATTCTATAGTATGCTCTACTACACTTGCTCTTTCTCCAAGATCAGACTGAGGCCTTAGGCTACAGAGTTTAACACTAACCCAAACTCAAACGGATGACAGTGGGGGTACGGATGAGACTCCAGATAGTCTGAGAGCTGGCAATATGGAAGCATGCCCTTAGTTAGTACTACGGTAGTATTACAGTTCTACTATAAGACTTTAGTCTATAGTATAGAATTACTACTAGACTAGGGTTTTGGGTTTCGGGGTGGTTGTTGGACATCCGGGCGACTAGACAGTAAAACGGATGGACTGCCTCCGCGTAGCAGGGCGCCAGGAGATGGGGTGTTAAAAGCACGGAAACGCGAACGTAACTTGACCCGAACGGATTTTAATAGTACCTCACTGGCCATGGCAGGTTGGCCGCCCTCCTCCACTTGTTCTAGAACATCTCACTTGAAACGATGCTGCACTGTAGACAAGCATACTCTGACCGACACAGAAGGCCAAGAAATCCAACTCCTACCATCGGCATAGCCAAAAACCCTAAACCCCTAAACCCTGAGCCCAAAGCCCTAAAAACTCTAAACCCTAGTCCCCTAGTAAACGTCGCCTGAAGCCTAAAAGTGGGATTCAAGGCTGAGGCATTATTAGGGGCGCGCTGACCTGAGCCTTCTCCACTGGCTGCGTCGGCAGGGCTCTGGGAGAGGACAAGACCTGCTGTGGTTAAGGTCTACGAACACATGGTTGGGAAAGTAGTAGTTTAAGGTTTAGGGTTTGGGGTTTTGGAGTTTAGGGATTAGGGTTTAGGGATTCTAGTTCATGGTTTGGACAGCATTACAAAGTATAATTTGTATTCGTTGTGGGGAAAGCGTACCCATAAAAGCTTAGAATGTTGCCCAACTATCAAACAAGTCTAAGGTCCCAGAGACTCCGATATCCCTTGGTTAAGGATATATACTAAATTATAGGAGGATCCCTAATATGATTTTTTTCCCCCGTGATTAAGGAATATACCTTAGATCATAATGGGACTCCCAATTCAACTTAAATTTTATTTCTTGTAGGTGTGAATGTTTGCGAGGGCAGTTGATCCGGATAGCTCGCGGCATGCTTCATGTTTGACTTTTGAAAGTTGATTCGACCGCGCAGCAGTGTGGCTCCTGGTGCAAACAAAAGAGCCGTTCGTTGCCGTAGCGTTGCAGCGGATGGGTGGCAAGGCTGCATTTTGTTAGGCTGCCTGCATTGGCAGCGGAGCCGAGGCTCCATGGCGGCTAGTTACAGCGCTGAGGTGCAGCATGATGCCTCCCAATCTGGGAGCGGGCAAGCGGCAGACCAAAGCAACGGCAATCAGGACCGGCAGTCTTGGTACAGCAGTAGCCAGTGGCAGGGTGCGGGAAATTCCTGGGATTACTACGGGAGTAATGGTTGGAGTTATTCTGCACCGAGCGCATGGGCTTGGCAAAGCGCCCCGTCTTGGGGCAATGCTCAGTGGGGCGGCAGCTGGTGGCATGGCGCCGCATGGACGGATGATTCGACGAGCCAGTCGAAGAATGGGGCTGCTGAAAGCCAGGCTCAGGCGAGCCCAGAGGAGGCGGATACGACCAGGCGGCAATCTGCATCTACCATGGAAGAGGATCCGTGGGGTGTTCCAGAGGGCACCGGATCGCTGGACGACGATCAAGGATCGTCGAGCAAGCAGGGATCGGCGGCACAGCCGAAGGCCACCGGGAAAGACTATATCCCGGAATATGACGGAACCACTCCGATGAGGGAGTATCAGCGACGTGTCAAGCTGTTTGAGATGAGTACGGGAATCGACCCGTCGTTCAGGGCCCAGAAGTTGATGGAGAAGCTGTCAGGGAATGCCTGGTTGGCTACTGAGTCAATTCCTCTGGAGTCTCTGAAAGATCCGCAAGGGGTGACACGTTTGTTGGAGCACTGCACCTCTGGAAGGAGCTCGAGCCGCTGGAGTTTCTGAGGACGTTCCAGACTTTGGCAGATTTTTACAAGGGTTTCAGAAGATCAAAAGGGCAGGAGTTCGTCGCCTACGACATGGAGTTTAGGCGGCATGGTCAAAGGCTGGAAGAAGTGGGGGCTGGTATCGCTGGTGTGACCAAGGCGTACTGGTTCCTGGAGAAGGCTTCACTCTCCAGCGAGCTGCGGAAGCAAGTCGTGGCAGCGGCGGGTGGCCAGTACGATTACAACAAGCTCCGTGCCGCGGTGATGGCGATTGTTCCTCAGGTGAACAAGGAAGATGACGGGCCATCTACGAGCTCAAGTGGAGGCAATCATCGACAATGGCGGCGGTCCCCTGCTAAGGTACATGCCACGACGCAAGATGGCGATGAGAACATGGAGGCCCCGGAAGGCGAGGAAGTCGAGGAGCTCCCCGTCGAGGCCCTTGAAGAGGAACTCCAGGTCCTCATGACGCAAGCTGCTAAGAAACGAGCCCAGGTGGAGCGTGCTCGTGGCTATGGCGCTCCGCCTCAGAAAGGGGCGAACCGTGGCGAGACGCCGGAGGCTCGTGAGCGGCGGATCGCCGAGCTAAAACGGCGTATGCCATGCTCAGCTTGCAAGGCGAATGGCCGTACAGTTTACGGCCACTGGCACAGCGATGCCAGCTGCCCCTTCAATCAGAAGGGGAAGGCCGAAGCTCCCGCTGGAAATGTGATGGCGGTGATTGAAGAGGAGCTCTCGGACTCAGATGAGTATGGTCCTGACTCCTCCGACGTCTTCTTCACGGAGTACCTTTGCGCGAGTGCGGTGTCCCAGATCGAGGTGGATGGTCACGACCACCGATTGGCCCTGTCGGACACCTGTTGCGCGAGGTCGGTAGCTGGAGAAGCATGGGCGTTGCGGCATATGCGCCACCTTCACGGTTTGGGAGTTGATGTTTATGTGGTTGATGAGCAGCGCCCATTCCGTTTCGGGGCCGGTCCTCGTGTGGAGTCCCGCTACGGAATTGTCATGCCGCTGATTGTGGAAGCTGCTCAGGTGACACCATGGGTTCGTGTGAGCGTTGTTCAACAAGACGTTCCGTTGCTGCTGAGCAAAACGGCCTTGAAGGGTTTGGGAGCGCGCCTTGACCTGGGTGATTCGAGGATCCTTCTTGGGAAACTGGGCACCCAGGCGCCGCTGATTGAGACCGCTTCAGGACTGTGCGGTTTCATGATCAACGACAACGTGGCGTTTTCTGAGAACGACATGACTTTGCCGCCTCAAGCAATGCTGGAGGGCGAGACCGAGATCTATGTACCTGGCGAGGCCGAGGACGAGAACGTCGAGCCGATCTACAAGGTCCATGCCGAGGCCGATCGAGGAAGCACCTGCCAGAAGTGCGAGACTTGCGCGAGAGCTCTGATCGAGAGCCGAGATTTCTCCTACAATGCCTTGGAGATGTTGGCTAACCTTCTCCCGGAGGTGAAGATGAAAAAGCAGCGGGCTATCAACCAAGCCGGGGAGAGCCGAGCGCAAGGTCTCGTTGCTGGGGTGTGGGCCCATGGAGGTTTCAGTGGGATAACTCGAGCTACGAGGGACCTGCCTTGGACCATCAAGTATATCAACCAGTTCTTGAGGCAGCAGGTGAAGATGGAATGGAGTTCTTTTGTGCTGATGAAGAACATCAAGACCAACCTCCACCGCGACAAGAACAATGCCAAGCAAGCTTTGTCGGCCACGGTGACGTTTGGAAACTTCCAAGGCGGCGAGCTTTGGATGCGTGAAGGGTCGGCCGAGAACCAGCCGGGCGCATCTGTTGATCGACGAGATCGCGAAGGAAAGCTTGTGAAGGGCACTGTGGTCAGCACTCGAGAAAAGCCGCTGGTATTTGACCCGCGAGTGTCTCATGGGACTCAGCGATGGAAGGGCACCCGATGGTGCCTGACGTGCTACACCTCAAGAGCGATAGTCGAGTTGGGGGACAACGATCGACGCTTGCTGCACGACTTGAAGTTCCCCTTGAAAGCCGTCGACAAGACCAGGACCTTTGGGAAAGTGAGTTTTCAGTGCCAAACTTCGTCCAGTCACCAGGAGCCACATGTTTTGAAGGATGAAGTTGGTAGTGTAAATGTTTGTACTCCGCATGATTTAAGCTCTCCGTGTGTGGCTCAGCCGGAGAGTGATTCAGCTAGATCAGCAAACCATCAGCCACAGTGTGACAGTGAGTGCGATGGTCTCCAAGTACACTGCGCCGAAGAAGAAGGAAGAATATGTCGCGTGCATCATGGCACGGACTACCGTGTCGGCGGAGGAGTTGCGCAAGCACGATGTGGAGCGGCTCAAGCAGATCTGGACATTGATCAAGCCGAAGAAAGCGGCGGCCCCTCTGCCGACCGGTTGGAAGAAGTACGATGTTCCAGCCCTCAAGCACCTGTACGAGACAGTGGTCGTGCCGGATTTGCAGCGGCCCCTGGACAATCACTGGGTCCGTTGGCAACGTCCCTTGTTGGTCACGGAGATCGACATGTGGGCCCAGGAGGTTACGGAGGCGCGGAAGGACGAACCCGAGGACCTCTACTCGGAGACGCCGATGTGCCAATCGTGTCAGATACCATTTGTGATCCGCACCAACAGGATGACACGGGAAGATTTCTTCGGGTGTGTCCGATTCCCGATGAGTCGGAACACAATGGCTCTCACGTACAATGGCATGCCGGCAAAGACGGTCCAGGACGGGCTGGAGAAAGAGCGCAAGGCCAAGACCCTCGAGGAGTCCGCCGAAGATGTGAAAAGGGAAGAGAAGCCGAACAAGTTCACCGGGTATCCGAAGGGCCCGACCAATGCGGCTCGTCGCAAGACTCCCTGCTTGACAGAGTGGCGGGGCGACTCCTCCGATGGGTCGTGGGCGAGGACGGGTCCCCTCCCCGTCGAGACGGATTCCGACCACGAGGATTCCTCCAAGGTGATCAACGCCAATCTGACGTCAGAGGAGATGGAAATGATCAAGCAGCTCCGGAAGAGCAAGGGCGAGATCGAGAAGTGAAGCCCACGTTTTCGGCTGAAGCCACGGCAGGTGATACCTCAGAGCATCGATCCACTTCGGAGAGCGTTCTGAATTGTAAGAGTTGTAATGCCGAAAGCCTCCCGAGAAATCCCGATGAGATTCGGGCTAGGATTCGTGATGGGTGTGAAAGGCGCCGTCACTTGAAGAAAGGTGCGATCAAGAGATTTCTCGGGAATGCAAAGGCAGTGGCTGCAAGTGTTATGATTGCATCCACAGCTGCTCTCGGAATGGCTATGCAGTCTGTCCCCAGTACTGCAGTTGTCAGGCCAGATGTACTGGAGGTGTTTGACGGTGAAGCACAGGTGTCTTCTAGTTTTGGCCGGTGGGGTTGGAGTACTGCTAAGCCTGTGGATCTGAAGCTTGGTGATGGTAAGTGCGATGCTGAACGGCATGATGGCCTTCTTGAGTGGGTTGAGCGGAATCGGCCTCGCCTTGTGGTGGTTTCGTGTGCTCGCGATTTCAAGTCTCTCGATGTGATCGACAAGTCGAAATCGTCCCAAGAAAAGAGAAGACTCAAACATCATAGGGAAAAGCAGCTTCCTTTCGTGCACTTCGTTGAAAGCGTGTTTGAGAGACAGATGAAGCGAGGAGACGACGTCCTTGTGAGTACTTGTGCTGCTAGTGGTGCTTTCAGAGAACCTGTGTTTCAGAAAATCATGAACCACCCGCAGGTTTATGCCACCGCTCTTGACAGTCGAGGAAATAGCGCTAAGGATGCTTCATCAAGGTTCTCTGGAAGCCATACCGTGCTTTGGCTGAGCACGGCCCTCGAGATCTGTGAAGAACTCAACATGCTGAGTCGTGAGGGTTCGAGAGGTGGAGGTTTACGTGAAATGATCCACAGTCATGGTAGGCAATGTGCTTCAGCGATTTGCAAGGGATATGTGAAGGTGTTGAAGCGGAAGGATCCGAGCCGTGTGCGGAAGATGCTTAGGCAAGTTGCAGCTAGGATCCGGAACCCTCGCAATCGGCAAGTGATTCGCGATCTACGATGGAACGAAAAGAACATCAGTAAAGCGCTAGCACGGTGGAGTGCAGTTTTCGCGGTAGATTCCTCAGGGGGCGGTGACGCCCACTCAGATGCACCCATGCATGATCCCCTGGAGGATGAAACCGACCAAGAGCTCCTCGCCGCTGATCGGGTAGATCAAGGAGGGGAACCTCTCAGAAGCGATCTGGCCTATGACGGCGTCAAGTTCGAAGTGCCCAGCGGGCGCAGGCTGAGTCCCGAGATCAAGGAAGGGTTACGGAAAGCACACTGCAACTTAGGACACCCCAGCAAAGCGGATCTTAAGCGGTTTTTGAAGCTAGGTGGGGCTAAACAGGAAGTTGTTGAAGCTGTCGACTGGATGCAGTGCGTTTCGTGTGCCCATTCGAACCGGCCCAAAGCCCATCGGACCACGAATATACCTCCTTGCTCTATCACGTTCGGTGACGAGGTTCATTTGGACTGTTTCTGTATTCATGATAACACTCCTGAGGCTTATTGGTTCCTGTCTATTGTGGATAGGGCGACCAGTTATCATGTAGTTGAGTTACTTCGCGATCATAGTCCCAACGAACTTCATCGGGCTTTCGACAGAGCGTGGGCCAAGTGGGCTGGACCTCCGCTGAGGGTGAGTGTGGATTTTGAAGGCGGGTTTCGGGGCAAAGAGTTTTGGAACCAAGTCAGCGAGTCCGGCGCTTCACTCGTGTCGATAGCCGGCACAGCACACTGGCAGGCAGGGAAGGTTGAACGACATAATCAGACTGTCAAAGACATGCTGAGGACTGTCATTAGGCATACCCATGTTAGGGGACGAGAACAGATTCGCGTTGCCGGCCGGGAAGTGTGTTGGGCTAAGAACACGTTAGTCAGAGAGCATGGTTGGTCGCCGGTGGCTTTAGTGTTCGGGAAAGAGCCTAGGGTTTTCGGTGAACTTCATAGTCAGGGCGAACCAAACATGTTCCATCCCAGGGTTGGAGACCCTGATAGTGAAGTGGCTAGGCGCATGAGGTACAGGTATCATGCCAAGCTGGAATACGTGAAGTCCCAGGCTAGGCAGATGCTTGCTCGAACTGCTCACAATAGGGTGCGTAAGATTACTAACCCTAGGGTCGGTCAGATGGTTTTCTTCTGGAGGGCCGAGCGGAAGAAGGAACCGAGTAGGTGGGTTGGTCCCGCTTATGTGGTTGGTCTTCAAGGGTCTAGCGCTTGGGTGGCGATAGGAGGTAGATGCTTTCTGGTTGCGGGTGAGCATTTGCGTGAAGCCTGTGGGGATGAGAGAAACTTCGGTGATCCTCAGATTCAGAAGGCGATTGCTCTGTTCAAGAAGACCCCTAAAGAAGCTACTTTCGAAGACCTGACTAGACAACCTCCTCCTAGCGAAGAACCTCTTGAGATTGAGCAACAGTCATTTGCACATGATCTTGCACGAGATGCAGGTGACTTTGAGCAAGGAGTTACCGAGTTGCCTGAGGAACTTCGGAGAGTGGTCAAGCGAGTAGGATGGACTCAGGACAGCTCTGGTAATCCTGTGCTTGTGACACGTCGCGCCTGGGCCTATCGCACTCCCGAAGCCAAGTACGAAGGTACTAGCTATCCCTATAGAACTACTTGGGGTCGGTTTGACGGGGAGTGGATTTGGCTTGAAAAGGACGTGAAGTGGAGTGAGCTCTCCAATCCCAACAGTTTTCTCCCTCAGGCTCCTGCCGAAATCCTGATCACTGCGTTTAGCCGTAGGAGTAAGAGAGAGATGACTTTGGATGATGTGCCTGTTGTGATAAAGAGAAGGAGAGAAGGAGAGGAGCGAGAGGCTGCTGTTCACGCGGTTCATCATGGGAAAATTGTGGGAAAGAACAAATTGAAGAGAATGATGGATAAAGAGGTTCCGTATGAGAAGATTCCTGAGAGTGAGCGCGCCGCCTATCATGAGGCGCAAGAGAAAGAATGGCAGAGCTGGAGGCAATATGAGAGCTGTGAGGTCTTGAGTGAGGAGGAGAGTGCGAGAGTTTTGAGGGAGAATCCCAAGAGAGTCCTCCCCAGTAGATACGTGTACCGAAACAAGAATGCGGGATTAGTTGATGAACAGGGAAGGGCTCTCCCTGTTCGGGCAAAGGCCCGGTTGTGCCTTCAGGGGCATTTATGCCCAGACTCCCAAACGGGTCAGGTTCAGGTGGATTCCCCGACGGTTGAAAGGGTCTCGACCATGCTTTTCTTGCATATGTGCATCAGCTACGGTTGGTCCCAGAATTGGTTTATCGGTGACATAAGTAATGCCTTTCTTCAGGGTGCACCATTGCAAGGAAAGGAAGCCATGTACATGAGACCTCCAAAGCAAGGCCTGAAAGGGGTTGGTCCAAACCAGATCCTGAAGCTGCTTAAGCCAGTGTACGGGCGTCCCGATGCTCCTCGAGCCTGGTACGAGGAACTGGCAAAGGTCCTGACCCAGGAGTTGGGATTCTCGAAGTCCTACATAGATCCTGCAGTGTTCATGCTCAGAAATCCTGAAGGCCTGTTGATCGGTGTTATGATAATCCATGTTGACGACCTTATGGTTTGTCATGACGGTTCCCAGCAGGCCATGGATGCAATTGAGCGTTTGAGAAAGAGATTTCCCTTTGGAACTTGGGAGAGGGTTGCGGACAAGCCTCAAGGAGTGACCTACTGCGGCAAGGAGATTTGTCTTCGCAAGGATACGCAACCATATATCACCCTCGCCCAAGACGGTTTCGTGGACGGCAGATTGGAGGAAATGGATATTGAACCAAGCAGAAAGCGTTGTCCTGAACAGTATGCCAGTGAAGAAGAGAGAGCGGAATACAGGTCAATCGTTGGTAGTCTCCAGTGGCTGTCCACCCAATCTCGTCCTGATATGAGTTTCGAGACGAACCAGCTTCAGAAGAGAATCGCTGATCTCCGTGTCTTTGACCTCAGTCGCGCTAATAAAGCTGTGAGAGAGGTGAAAGAGAATCGTATGCTGTTGACGTTTAGAGATCTCGGACGAGATGCTCAGTTGATCGTGTATTCGGATGCCGGTCTGTACTCGAGTGTCGGAGCTGAGATCAGTGAGCAAGAGTGTGAAGACATCCTTCAGTCTCAGAAGGATAAGAAACTTGTTTATTCGCAGAAGGGCGCTTTGGTGGGCTTCGTTAAGCGTGGATCCACTGAAGTCAGAGGCGAGAGTACGCATGTGAATGTTCTCGACTGGAAGAGTAGCACCAATCGTAGAGTGTTGGAGTCGAGCTTCGCTGGTGAAACGCATGCGGCCTTGATGGGTTTAGGCATGGGCCATTTCTGTCAAGTGCTGATGAGCGAGCTGCGTTTTGGATCGGATGTTGTTGGCAGTGTCGATGACGATGGATGGAATGATTTGGTCCCTATGACCTTGGTTACGGATTGCAGGTCTATTTACGATACGGTTCATAAAGATGGCCAACATATCTCCGACAAAGCCAGTGTTGTCCATGCAGTGCTTCTTCGTCAAGCTCTCACGACTCGCCAAGTCGCTTGTAGAGTTAGATTGCTCTGGGTTCCCACGAGACATCAATTAGCTGACGGTTTGACTAAGGGTTTGAGGGCTAAGGAAACTCGTGAGCAATTGCGACAGGGCGCAGTTTTTCGTGAAGAAGCTGCCAAGCGAAGGGTTCCGGATCAAAAAGATAGTGTTATCGGTGTGAATGTTTGCGAGGGCAGTTGATCCGGATAGCTCGCGGCATGCTTCATGTTTGACTTTTGAAAGTTGATTCGACCGCGCAGCAGTGTGGCTCCTGGTGCAAGCAAAAGAGCCGTTCGTTGCCGTAGCGTTGCAGCGGATGGGTGGCAAGGCTGCATTTTGTTAGGCTGCCTGCAGTAGGGATATTGGAGTCTCCGGGTCTAAGGGTGCAGACTAGAGTCCGGGAAACAGGGCGCAGCCTTTTGTCCCTGGTTCTTAGTACGGAAAGGGGGAGTGGATTTTGGAGACAAAACCTGGGGATTATATAGGGACTACCCATTCCCTACTAAGCACCAGACAGTTTTCGTGACCCCCTACCTCCGCGCCGGGTTTGGTAACTTGGCCCAGCACGACCTGGTTCTGCGCCAGGTCTCTTAAAACCAGTTCGGAGCATTCGGCAAAGAAGGCTTCCGCGTCCCTGTGCAGCCGCACTTCCACGGCCTCCTCCATGAAGGATCCCTGTAGGGTTTCGGGTTTAGGGTTTAGGGTTTAGGGGGCACAAGCTGTCGGCCGAAGGACTTGAGCAAAAACTGCTTGCGCTGCATGGCTTGGAAAACATCCGGCACAAAGGCCATGAAATCCAAAACGATATCCTATGCTGAACTTAGAACCCTAGCAAAAATTAGAATTTTAGCTGCTTCTTAGGGATTATATATAACCAAAAACTAAAAATTATTTCTAAGTACCCCTAAGTATCGTAGAGCCTCAACCGCAAACCCCGAAGCCCGTCTCAACATCCCAGGGCCCGGTACCGAGCCCTAGGCCCCCCCAGCCCAGAAGCACAATGGGCACCTCATCCTGGGTTTAGGGTTTAGGGTTTAGGGTTTAGGGGTTTAGGGTTTAGGGGTTTAGGGTTTAGGGTTTAGGGGTTTAGGGTTTAGGGTTTAGGGGTTTAGGGTTTAGGGGTTTAGGGGTTTAGGGTTTAGGGTTTAGGGTTTAGGGTTTAGGGGTTTAGGGTTTAGGGTTTAGGGTTTAGGGTTTAGGTTCTTTTTTGTTTAACGCCTTTTTCCACCTGCCTGTTTGTTGGTCGGTAGAATCCACAGGGTTTAGGGTTTAGGGCTTCATCCCAATCCCTGGAATCAGCGCCCTAAAGTCTGAACCCCAAACCCCGAACCGCTAGACCGCTAAACAATCCTCAGACCCAAAACCCTACAGGGAACTCCAGAAAGTTGGAATATGGGCTTCAGGGTAGGATACCCTGTAATTTACCATAAAGGGTTTAGGATAATCATATTCCAACTTTCTGGCTTTTACTTTCCACCCCGAAACCTCAGAAAAGCCCTGGCCCCAAAAACTTCCAAAAACCCAGAGCCGCTGAACCTCGCAGGGACCCTATACCTCCAAAAGCCCCCAAAAGCCCGAACGTAGGAACCTGATTAAGAAACCTTGGGCCTTTATTCGGGCTCCTTTTATAAATTGGCGGTTATAGGCCCAGGGTTTCTTGATCAGGTTCCTACATGACAGCCCCAAATCTCTGCGGAGGAGCTCTGGTCCATGTCCATCTCCTTGAAGGCCTTCATCAGCCCAGCTTTCAACTCATGGGGCTCCACGTTTCCGTCCTTGTTCCTCGAAAAAAAGGGTTTTGGCGTTTCGGGTTTAGGGGTTGCGGGGTTTAGGGGTTTAGGGTTTTAGGGTTTAGAGCTTGAGGGCTTAAGGGTTTCGGCCTGAGTGTTGGGTATAGGGGCTTCTTGGGCTCAGCTTTAGGGTGCAGGGTGCTGGGGTTTAAAGCATCGGATCGGGCTTTGGGGCATGGGGGCGTTGAAAGGAATCTCTGCATGTGAGGGCTGCTTCAAGGGCGCCAAGACCTGAAAACCCAAAACCATCTAAACTCGAACCCTAAACCCAAGACCCTCCTCCCAGAATCCTTATTTAGAACCCTTCGGGCCCTTGAGCAACCCCTCTACTTAAAGGATCATGGGACTTAGTAACTAAAGTTATTATTAGGGTAACTATACTTATAACTACTTATAACCCCAATTAAGGTACTTATAACCTTACTTACTAAGTCCCAGGATCCTCCAAGTAGAAGCCTTTTAGAACCATCTGCCAGGCCGCTGGTCCCAGGAGGAGAAGCCGAGCAGTTTCCTCCAGAGGTCCTTCATGCAGACCTGGAAGACAAGAGGGGCCCAGATTCGGGGCTAGGGGGTTTGGGGTTTCAAGGTTTAGGGCTTTACAGTTTAGGGTTCAGGGTTTGGGGTTTTGGGTCTGAGGTGGTTAGCGTTTGGGGTTGAGGGAAAGTCTCCACTATATGGGGGCCTTGATAGATAGAATGCGCTGCTGAAGCGCCTAGAGCGCCTTATATGGTTTTGTCAAAGCGCCTTCCTAACTAGACTCTCATCTGGAAGCATCAAGAACCAGTTTCAACCCTCTTTGTTACCCTCGTTCGCATTTGCATTGCTATTCCTTCCGACCTATCGTATCAAGCTCAGCCCTCAGGACTCAGACTAAAATGCGGGTCTTAGTGAGTAGAGTAGGGTTTTGGCTATGTTACGTAATCGTGGTAAAATTTGACGGGGACGATCAGGGGATACTATTACTAAGTATTCCGATCCCCCCCCCCCCCCCCCCCCGCTAATTGCAAGCCCGTACCCCAAGAAATCCTGCAGTTCTAACTTGCACCCCTAAACCATATGCTCAACCCGAACCCTAAACCCGACACAACACTGAAACCCTAAACTCTAAAACCTAAAGCCCGAATATAGGGGCCTTAATAATTGGAATGTGATTTTGTGGCCCAGTATATATACCATAACTATAATGAGGAACCCCCAAAATTGTATTGGTAATTATTTAAGCCCCTACGTTACAGTACCCTTATAGTATCCCTTCTAATAACCCTGACCCCTTGACAGGAACCCTACTCTTATTATAAAGGCTTCTCTATGGGAGTTTCCGAAAAAAGGGTACCCTAATATAGTACCCTAGGTAGTAGGATCCTTATTATGAGGACCCCAAAATAAGGTACCCCTAATTTTCGGAAACTCCCATATTAAACTCTTAGAGACCCGAATCTTCGAGAGCTCTCGCCTCGATGATTGCAGGCTTCGCAAGCGCACAGCACTCCTGGAGGGCTCCAGACAGAAGGGGCTCCCTCCTAAGATTAAGGCTAATACAAATGATACGAATAGCAAGAATAAGACAAAAGAATAGGACTAGTCATAACATAACCAGAAACATGATACTAGAAATACGAATACTAGCAATAGGAATATTAATGGGTGGTCTTTACAGATCCCATTCTGGGAATCCTTCTTAGAGGTCCTTCGGGGATCTGGGATCCTACTTTGGGAGTCCTTCTCAGAGGTCCTTAGGGGTCGGTGGACCACAAGGCGATCCTGCTAGGGGGGGTCCTTCCAAGGGATCTCTTCGAAGTCAGTCGCATTTCGATCCTACTACCATGCAGTGGGTGGAGGAGCCTTGAAGGTGAAGGACACCAAACCCCAAGCCCTAAATTCCAAGCCCAAAGCCCAAACCCTAAACCCAGGGCCCTAAGGCTTTGGACGTCCTAGAAGGGACCTTTTTGGCTTCCCTTACAGGGACCCTAAAAACCTACAGTAGCCTTTGAAGGAGCCCTATTATAGGTCCCTTGGTGCCTCCGCACTCAAAATCTGGGCCGTTGGGTGTGGAGTCGATTCGAGTTTGGGTCGCCGTGGTCAGGGCTCAGGGTCTTCACCAGAGGGTTTCTCAAAACCTTTTGTTTTAGGGCTGAAGGTTTAGGGTTTAGGGGTTTAAGGTTTAGGGTTTACCCCTAAACCCTCTTCTGTTCTAACAAAAAGCCTCTGTTGAAGTCTGGGGATGTGGGTGGCTCTGAGGACTGTAGGGTTTAAAGTTTGCGGCTGCCTAAGCCGAGGGCTAGGCAAAAGGAGCTCGCGGATGGACGCAAAGACGTGTTGAGAGCATTTCCCTCCAATGTTGAGTTGCTCTCCGAAAAGAAAAAACTGTCGCAAAGCATGATCTGGCTGCTTTGGTATGCAGACATTCCTATGGGTGGAATCATCATGTACTACTACGGTGACCGGTGCTGCGATAGTAGCGATCATGGTGAAAGGTGTGATAATGATTGCTCTGGCTGTCACTCGCAGCAGAAGAACCAGTACTTACGTACGGACCGTTCATACATGACTGTGGTGGAAATAGAAGGAAAGGGATAAGCACCAAACTCACCATTAACCCTCGCCCTTACACCCTCAACCCTAAATCGAAACGCCTAAACACAGGGACCTAAACCCTGAAACCTGAAAACTAAACTGACCCTAAACATACGCACTGAACTCCGCAAACCTTAACGAAGGCTTCCCCGAAATCCGAAAGCCGAACGGCTCTGAATGGCCCTGCCTCGTCGGGAACACCAGCTGCTGTGCCGAACTCCACCTTTCCGCTCCGAGGTGGGAGCAAGAGAACCAACGGCTTGGAGTTTGGTGATTTACTTACCTTCGGTTAGTAGGGAATGGAAGAATGGTAGTAATAGTAGTTATAATTGTACCCCATTCCTCCATTCCCTACTAACCAAAGGTCAGTTTAGGGTACAGACGGTACAGGAGTTGGAAGCCTGCCCTGCTCCGGCGCACGTAGCTAAGTCGACGGCCCCAGCCCCGAAACCTTGCGCAACCAAACGTGTCAGAGAAATCCGAGAAGCCAAGGGCGTGATGGAGTTCATGCCGAGGAGGAGCACGCGCTGGATCGCGACCTGGTGATGAAGCCAACGGCTTGCGCTGAGCTCTGGGTAAGGGGACTTGGTTGATCGACATAAAGAGCTTTTGACGGCTTTATCAAAGTCTCGTTGAGCCTTGAAAACGACGAGCTTTTAAGTTACCATGGCAGAATCGCACTCTTTTTCGTTCCTACTATGGTAACTTGAAGCTAAGTTTCTCTTCAAGAACTTAGTCCTGGCCTTCGGCAGCAGGAACGCAGTTATGAGCCTAGGGGTGTTCGCACAACGCCCGAAAGCCTAAAGGCACAAGGAGCACAGTGCAAGGGGAGCAGGGCTCCTCCCTGCGAAGATCAGGATGATTTCGAGGATGACGCGGGTTTAGGGGTTTTGGGTATCAGGGAGGACGAGAGGACGAGAAAGGGAGGATGAGAGGATGAGAATCCATGGAGACGGCGATGATCAAAACTGTTAGCCATGGTTTGGTAAAAGATTAGAGCCTCTCCCTGAAGCCAAACCCCCGACATCCCCAACCCTGTACCTTGCCTGAACCCTAAACCGAAATGCTAAGCAATAAACCCTAAAGGGTAAACCCAAAGCCCAAACCCTGAACCAATTCTAAACCCCAATCAACCCCAACATCCAAAGCACCCAACCCCGAACCCTCAGCCATAAACCCATGGCCTTGTACGTTCTGTCCGGGTCGAAGGGCTGGCTGTTGATGGTCAAGATGTTGTTCTCCTACCGTAGGATACGTATACACATATGTGTATAAATATATATATATATAGATAGATAGATAGACAGATAGATAGATAGATATAGCATACTGCAATGTAGCGTAGTGTAAAAACCTGCCTGTCTGTTGTAGTACAATACAGTACACCAAGGTATATCGCATATTGTATTGTAGTATACTCAGCAACATAGTGTGTATCGTCACAGGTTGGATTGTATCATATGCATTATGTGGGGAAACTCTGAGGTTTATGCATCAAGCACGTTCGTCGGATTCACTCCTCATGAATTGGGGTCCGAAACGCTTTGCTACGTTTCCCGCAGCCTTTGCCAAATGACTCCCGGCCACTTGGTTTTGAAACGCAGCTCGGGGCCATTTGCACTAGTTCTTGAGGCTCCCGTCTACTTCAATGAAGCTTTAAGTGCAACGAAATCTTCCCTTTTCGTCGCGAGGCAGCTGTTACTGAGTATGCCCATCTCTGTGCCTGTGGTGATAATGACAACCACAAGGGTCATGAAGCTGCCACGGACGAACCGGAAAGCCTTAACCCCTGAAACCCCAAAGCCCGAAACCGAACTAGGTGTCGACTTCAACAGCTCCTACTGTAAGTAAATTCGGACCCGAAAACTAAAATAAAAAATCCCAAATCGATACCTAGATTAATTAATGCTTGCATATCATCCCCCTAAACCCTAAAGCCCCAAACCCTGAAGCCCTAAAGCCCTAAAGCCCTAAACATGAATTTCTGAAATATCATCCCAGTTCATGTCGAGGCTCTGCATCTGTGCTGCAGTCTTGATCCAGATGCAGGAAAGCAGGCTTTTGCTCAGTGCCCATCCTTGGCTAAGGGAGGCCCTGAGATCCCAGAATTTAATTTTTTTCGGGGTTTGGAGGTTTAGGGGTTTAGGGGTTTGGAGTTTGGGGGCTTAGGGTTTAGGGGTTCAGGGTGCAAACTTGGGGTTCAGGGTTTAGGGCTTGGGGTTTAGGGTTTAGTAGAGTCTTGGCTATGATGCTCCAAGGATCCAGTGATTTTTTTTTGAACGCCTTTTTCCGTGCGCACTTTCGATAGGTTGGAATCCACGTCGTGGAAGGCCTACAACCCTTCAGCTGGCGATGTTGTCGAAACTCCCTTCAAAGTACTGTGTCTGTTCCCCTTGTGGCTCTGGCCCATCACCACTCGAACCATTGCGACCCTGGTACTGCTCATCGTCAGGCACAAGGGCGATGCACCAGGGTTGCTGTGTGCTGTCACCCATGTCGGCCACGTCATCCCAGTCCACCAGACCCGGAAATTGCCGACGACACTCTGGAAGCCCGTGATCTCTCCATATGCGGAACATGCGTAGCCAATGGGCACCGTAGATCTGCTCAATGGTGGAATCGGAGATGCCCCCTTGCAGCCAGCGCGAATGAACCATAGAGACCACATGCACTGGTACACGCGTCCCCATACTCCCTGTGTTGTAGGGCCGGTTGATCGGCTCCGCAACCTCGGAATCCCTTTCCACCTTGTCGTCCTGCATATCAAGGATCTCCGGCAACTTCTGGTAAATGGACTGCCTGAAGAGGGTGAGCCACTGAGCTCCGAAGGAGCGAACAATCTCTGCATCTGTCCGCTCTTGCCTTTTCCATTGTCCGTAGATCGACTCGAAAAGCCCATACCCCGGTCTCGGGCCACCAGGGACCAGCAATCCCGAGGTCGGGATCATGTGGCCATGTTGCGAGCTGTTGATGGAGGTGTTCAGGCACGTGTCCCGCGTCCGTGGCACCACCCCTTCGCAACTCCATGATCCCCGTCTCTTCGGGCTGGCCAACCTCCTCCTCTATTCTAGATTCTAGGCATGCCCTCGAACGGATCAACGCTCACAACCGTGTCTTGTCTGGCGCTCGCAGCCGTGACGACAAGGACGATGGCTTGGTAGTCCTCAATCGGTTCTTTGATTCGAGTCCTAACCCTGCTCCCGAAGTCCTTGTGGGATCTAGATCCTTGTGAGAATATGTTGAACCTGTCAAGGACATCTTTGAGTCCGCAGGTGTTCAAGTACTTGACCACTTCAGTGACTGATTCCGCCGCGGTGGCTTCATCCTGAAGGTTGGGCCCTCTCATCTTGAGGAACTTGAAGGCAGCCACAGTCGCCAAGCAAGACTCGAAATAGGCCTCCAATGTAGAGTGGCCCTTGTCTCTGACTGCGCCATAGGTCCAAGCTAGGTTCCCCACAAATGTCCCTCTGTCGAGACTGAACACATCAGTGGATTCCAAGACCCTATGAATGGAGTTGATCTCATTCTTCGAATCTAGAGGGATGCTCTTGTCCAGAAATACATCCGTCTTGTCTCTCCAGAGCACATATGCTCTGATTTGAAACTTGCAGATGTAGAAGGTGCCTCGAAACCGAGCCTGGTCCAAGCTGGCGGCTTGACCACTCTCTCTGTGGCAGATGCCTTCGACGATGCAGACAAGACGCTGACTGCGTCCTCATCGCCCTTGAGGGCCGCTCTGTCCAAGAATATCCCAGCATCTCCAGCACATTCCCTACTCCAAAAAGCATCGTCTCAAAACACTCCTTTGACATGTCCATGATGGCGCTTGGGATCCTTCGTCCTGATCTGACTGGCCTCGTCGAAATCTCCAAGCTGAAGTCTCTTGAGATTTTGATCGCCGCAGCAGCTGCGTAGACAATCTCGTCCCTAGTCGCTCTCCTTGTTGCAGGCGCGGACGGATTAACTTTCGCAGTGTACTGGAGCTGATCGAAGTAGTGAGCAGTCATCTTTCTCCATGGCGTCATCCTGGCAAGTGCGGTGACGTTGGCCTTGATCTTCTTCCGAGAGAGAGGCACCACGGGCCCGATCATACCTCTGGCTTGGACGTAGAACCCACCTACTAAGGGCATGACGTTTTGCACTGCTTCCATGGGGGAGCATGACGTTTTGCACTGCTTCCATGGGGGAGCACCTGGTGTCTTCTATCAGCATGCACATGCCTTGGGCAATCGCATTCATCATGGCATTTTTGTCGACCATTGCTCTCCTCTCCTGTTCCACCAGAATTATGCTCCTGGCTGTGACAACAAAAGGGGCTACTCTGCAGGGAGCAGCTAGAAGACTGGCGTTCTCCGTGGACCAGAGGTGACCACTTCTCTTGGCCGAAACTATCGGGTGAATCGTCTTGCAAAAGGACAGAAACTTGGCGCACCGACTGAGTTGGCCACTAGACCTACGATCTTCGCCAAGTCCTCCTGATCGACAAAAGGCGCTATCTCTGCTAGCAGCGTGATGATCTAATCACAATCCCTCGCAAGTGTTCATTCAATGTGAATTCCACGTCGTAAGATCTCTTGAGCTTGTTGGTTTTAAATTTGAAATATGGCCCAGAGTACCATGGCTCCCTGAGTCCACCGTAGAGTTCCTTATGATTGAATGGCGCCTTGTCCACGGTGAGATGCATGTAGACCGAGTCAATGCGGACAAATGTAGACTTGTCGAGCTTGTAGTCCGTGTAGACGGGTCCACCTATGTCCACCTCGTAACCCTCGAACTTCTTGCTGAAGAAGTTCGTCATGAACTTGTGGGAGTCTAATCCTATTCCCCATTTGTCCGGGTTGTTGTGACTCAGCATGTAAAGCCTCATCCTTGCCACCAAAGTTTTCATCCTGAACAGCTTCTCATTGGCAAGCTCAGTATTTTGAGATGGCAGAAGCTTTTGGAAGACCGTGGACCCCAAGGATTTCTTGTTGATGTCAGCTCTCACCATGGCATAGTAGTTGCAACACATGATCTTCTCGAACATGAAAGGCCTGATCGTACCATCGCTCGTCAACGATTTCCAGAGGGCCTTGAGGAACATAGATTCCTCTTCTTCCATTTCTGTATAGAACTCTGCAGACAATCCTCTGGACAGGAATCCCAACTGAGCCGCCCGCATCTTGCAAAATCTCCTCCTGAGCTTAGATGTCGCTGTAGGCGCATCGTTGCCCACCTGCAACAGTCTCCATGCAAAGACGGTCGTGTTGTCGTTGGCTTCGATGGATTGCATGATATCTTTCTCCGCATCGAACTTCATGGTTTCCATCGCCGCCGCCAAAAGCTCTCCACATCCCCTGATGCCACCATACCTCGCCATCTTGTTGCACGCAGCTAACGCTAGGGCGTTATTGTAGGCTGCAGAAGGGATGGACATGCCCTCTATAAGGGACAAGTTCATCCCCTGCAAGCCATAAGGCATTTTGAACAAGGCCATCCAGCCCGCAGTCTCGAGCGTGCCTGCCGAAGGACACCTCTGAAGAGCCAGGGTTTTGAGCTGAGTGTAGCCTGCCAATATGGATGGCAAGTGATAGCAGTCATACTCCAGACATGCACCTGCCGCAAGATGGATCGTCGGGAAATCTTCCGCGGTGTCGGTTTGGGATGTCAATATAGGCTCATGCATGTTGGGGAATGTCTTGCCAACCAGGCCGAAAGAGCAGTCGCAGGCGTACATGCTCCCCACGAACTTGCTGCCCAAGTAACCCTCGAATGACTCTTCCGCTTTCGCTATCATTTTGAAGTTGGCATAATCTTGCTCTCTGATCTTGATCTTCTGCTCGGCGACGTTCTGGACGTCGACATCTTTTGAGTTGGCGGAAACCTCGATGGAATTGTCGCCCATGAAATAGCAGAGCAAGTTGTAAGGAGGGAACTTGACCACCTTCCCGAGGGCTGCAGCGATCTCGGTTCTTGCCACCCCATTTATCGCCTTGTTGATCTTGCTCATGATGGGGTTATTGATCCCCTGGCTCATCATCTGAGTCTTGTTGACTTCAATAGAGTAGGCGCCGTCAAATCCGGTGATCTCCACCTTCCCACACAAGCGATAGTGATCCCATAGGTGTATTTTGCTCCGCGTCATCATGCATTCGATCTTGATCGCAACTGTCTTCAAGGCCTCGACTATCGAGTGAGTGTAGGGTAGCACTGGGCAAATCCCACGCCCCCGGTCCAAGCGAACAGTGTCTTCATCTCCTGAGTTAGAGCTTCCTCTGACATTGTGACCGCGAGCCCTGCGTGCTTGCTTTTCACTGCGTTGGTCTTGGATGCTCTTGCAGACATTTTCTGGAGCAGTTTGGACAGGTAGTCCTCTGCCGTGACGTCGCGACCAGACTCTCCCTTTGGGACATTCAAGTTGGACGTCTTTGAACCCATAATCCTCTCCGGAAGATTACCGAAGTCGGGGAGCGGAGCTGCGAGGTTGTAAATGTCCACCTCTGCAGCTGCAGATAAGAACTCGTGCGCAGAGGCTTCAGCTCTCTCGAGACCGTCAGTCGTGAAGGTCAAGATGCTCTCTCTTGAGTTAGAGTTGGTCCACAGAGGGACAGCATCTGCCACTAAAGGCGCATTTTCGGGGCAGATGTACTTGTCGCAGCTGACTACTTCTGGGACCCAGTTCATCTGAACAGGGGCGGGTCTAAATGTCGCCCACTTCTCCAGGGAAATTGCATCGAAGCCTCCTGTTCCAATTGCGACCTTGGTCTCATCGTCCAATTCGTCATAGTTCGCGATCACCTCCCGGACATCGCCCGAACTTGGATCAATCCTGTTGATCAGGCAATCTTTGATGTACGAACCCGCAAGCTGAACCAGATGGTGGGTTGCAACTCTCCCCGGGATCTTGGAAGAACCTGAGAGCAAGGAGTGGACTGTAGGTATGAATCTTCTTGGAGAGAAGGGGTAGGATCCCTTGGACCTCGTCATTCTCATTTCTCCCAAGATCATCATTCTATCACTTGCTTCTTTTGTGGATTCCATCAGATCTATCAGCCAGACCCAAGAGGAGGGCAGTTTCCCAGTGGAAAGCACAGCTTCCTTCAGCTTTTGGTACCTATCTTGGTGCGACTTGTGAGCTCCAAGGGCAATGAATTCTCCGACCGACAGCGCCTTCTTGCAAGCTTTCGTCACCGCTATGAAGTCGGGGGCGTTTAAAAACCATGCTCTCAAGAAGCTTTGGGAGACTCTGTTGACCATCCCGGAAGCGTTAAAGTATCCCATCCTCTCGGCATGAAAAGATGCAGTCATCGATGAATCATGTTCAGCGATGGCTTGAAACATGTCTCCAAAGTCTTGGACTGAGAAGACAAATGCGACTTTCTTGAACTCGAAGAATAATGCCATTGGCCGAGAAATGAACCGCCTCCAAACCCATATACATCTGTGGATTAGAAACGAACCATGTGATGCTGGTGCATGCTGCAAAGTCGAGCATCATTGAAGTGGCCATGGCTCTGCACAGAGCCAACGCCTTCAAGCTCATCTTGGGATGATCCCTCGCGAGTGCCATCTTCTCCGAGAAAGACAACTTTGTGATTCGACTCCTCAAAAAAGAACCTACAACCTTGTTGAGCCTCGCGATGTGGTCACGTACTCTGGGATTCTCTCGGATCTCGTCTTCCTCTTCTCCCTCATCTCGAACTTCGAGAGGTTTTCCCTCAACTTCCTCGATGTGCTTCTCTATGTCACAATCTAGGTAGTCGTCAACATCTGAGATGGCCCCCGCATCTATGGCTTTGGAGATGGCGCCAGAATTGCGCATCTTCGTAATCCACTCCTCGACCACCTCTGGGTAATAGCCTGGATCTTTGACCATGTGAGCGAACTTCATAGCCAAGGCGCTTCTGCTAGTGCGCTTGGCTTGCCTAATCGCTCTCCGAAGATGCCTCATGGCGGTTGCGTTGGAAACAATCCTCCTATCCAGCCCAAGCTCCACTTCCAGAGACGTAGCTGTGGTGAACTTGCCGCAATTCCTGGATGCCTTTGATCTAAGTATATCGAGTCGGTCCCTCAAGGATCCGAGGAGCATTTTCGAGGACTTGATGTCCAGGACGATCTGATAGATCTCCGCTTGGGGCATGCGCGTGCTGTAGCCGAATGACGAGTAAGAGGGGCAACATTTCAAATCTGCCTCAGCCAGGTCGTCGACATTCGAGAAGGCAGCCAAAGCTTGGGGCATCCATTTCCTGCATCCTTCTGCGGCTTTGCCCATCATGTAGGACTCAGCAGCCGTCCCAATCAGGAGCCTCTTCTTGAAGGCTGCCGTAGCTTTGATCGTGGCCCCGGCGTTAGAGATGTTTATGACTTTGCTGTCATGGAGGCCCTTGACGTCAGGCTCTTTGGCTCTCGTAAGGAAGTCTTCAATGAAGAGTGCCTTAGCTCTTGGGTCCGAGAAATGTGTGCTTTGCCAGATTTTCTCCCTTCGCTGGAGAGAGGGCTCCAATTTTTGAAGCCCCTCGAACAGCTTCGTAGTGGCACCACTTTCTGATCTGTCATTCTCCGAATTGGGAAAGACGTGTTCTTCGGAGACATCATCTATGATCTGCGCGAGTGTCTCTGGAGGGTAGAAGGGATCCAGGGATTAGGGGTGAAGGCTGTCGGGTGAGGTTTCTCAGTCTTGGGCAGAAGACGGCGCTCCAATGCAGAATCTCAAGGGGAAAACCCTAAACCCTTGACCCTTAAACCCTAAGATCCTAGACAGTTCTCCCTCATCCCCATGCTTTCCAAATGCTAAACGAGCACTCCTGGAAAAGATTACTCAAGAGTTTGGGGTTTAGGGTTTAGGGTTTCGGCTTTAGGGCCAGCATTCACCCAAAAGAAAGCAGTGGCAAGAACAAACAGTAGTCGTTGTCGTCGTAGTGGTGGATCCAGCCGCAGCATCAGCAGTAGTAGTCGCAGTAATAGTCAGCGTCGTCATCATCAACAACAACATAACCAGACTACCAGTAGGAGCACTACTTTGTAATATTAGAAGCAGAAGCTGCAAAAGAATAAGGCGATGGTGTTGATCTCAAGAACTATGCGAAGAAACTAGAACACGGATAAGGACAGGATGCTTGGCTGTGGAGTGACCCCGACGCTTCTTCATAAAGGGCTACTTTCCAGAACGATGGACAACATGGTCTGATGTGCAACACATCCGAAAGCCATGATACCCCAAGATCTTGAACTTTGAAAACATATCGGATCCTCGTCAAGGCGGCCTGAAGCTTTAAGTGCGGTTGCTGGTTCCTCTGTGTGCACTCTGAATTCGTGGCGCCGGTGTCCGTTGGACCCTAACCCGAAACGCCTGAACCCTAAACTGTAAACCCTAAACCCGTAAACCCCTGAACCCTAAACCCCTAAAACCCGTGAACTGAACCTGTAAACGTAGAAAACCCCACTAAACCCCCTGGTGGTTAGTCGGGAATGCGGGAGTGGATTATGGGGACTATTATTGGGGATTATATAGCAACTACTATAGGGATCCATTCCCCCATTCCCTACCAAGCACCACTAAGTAAACCCCACGACCCAGCTTCTAGCTCATGGTTGGGACAGGATTAAAAACCTACAGTTTTATTCCTTATTGGGTTTAAGTACCCATAAAAGTGTGAAATGTTTCCCAACTTTGACCAAGGCTTCCGTGAGAACTTGACGGCCTCCTGCAGCACGGAGCCCTTCATCGGCACCACGGCGATCGCCTTCGGAAGGTCGCCGGTGAGAAGTTTCGGGCTTAGGATTTAGGGTGTAGGAGTTAGGGGTTTAGGGGTGTAGGGGCTTTGGAGTTTCAGGATTTAGGGTGTTGGAGTTAGGGGTTTAGGGGTGTAGGGGCTTTGGAGTTTCAGGATTTAGGGTGTTGGAGTTAGGGGTTTAGGGGTTTCGGAGTTTTTGGATTTAGGGTGTAGGTGTAGGATTTAGAGGTTTAGGGGTGTAGGGGTTTCGGAGTTTTGGGATTTAGGGTGTAGGATATAGAGGTTTAGGGGTGTAGGGGGTTTCGGAGTTGTGGGGTTTGGGGTTTAGTTTTTCAGGTTTAAGGCTTCGGGTTTGGGTGTAGAGGTTAGGGGTGTAGGGTTTGGGGCTTCGGGTTTGGTGTTTAGGAGAGTTTAAGGCTTTTGGTTTAGGGCTTGGAGTTTAGGGTCTTGGGCATCGCAAAGCTAATATTGTTCTTGCCTTCATAAACAGAGCCATGCTGCCAAAAAAAGACTTAGATGCTAAACCCCAAACCCTAAACCCCAAACCCTAAACCCCAAACCCTAAACTCCAAAACCTCAACCCTCAATTAACCCCTCAACCCCAAAACCTCACAGAAGGGTCGATCTCAAACCTAAACCCCAAACGCCTCAACCCCAAAACCCCCTAAGCCCTAAACCCCTAAACCCCAAACGCCTCAACCCTAAACACCTAAACCAAAAACCCCAAACCCCTGCACCCTAGCCCCACTTAGGGAACCCCTAAACCCTATAGAGAGTCCACCTGAGCCAGGCCTCCGCGAAGGCGAGCTCCTTGTAGAGATCACCCAGGGTGAAGGGTCCCGCCTCATAGTCCGCTCTGCCACGGACGTCGCCTCCGTTCCTGGGTTTCTTTCGGGAGTTTAGGCTTCTTGTTGCTGTTGAGGGTTTAGAAGGCCTCTTTTTGGCGTTGAGGGCCTAGGGTTCTTATTTGGGGGTTTAGGGTTTCGGAGTTTAGGAGTTTTAGGGGTGTTTTGTGGAGTTGTTTCGGGTTTAGGAGTTTAAGCTTCTGCTTGGGAGTTACTTTAATTCTGAGGGGCAGGGGGGGTGGATTTACTGTGATTTATGTTAAGGCATTGTGATTTTTGGGGGTTTAGAATTCGAAAGGATTCTTCGGGCTTCAGGATCTAAGGTCAATGGCGCTCGAGGTTTGCAGTTACGGGTTTGGGCACTCACACTACACCCTTGACCCTAAACCCTAAACCCTAAATAAGGCTTAGGAGCTGATCCGCATGGGAATCTGCTCTTCAATGGTGATTTCAGCGGCACGCGGTTGAGGGTGCAAAGTTTAAGCTGTAGGTGTAGGGGTTAGGGGTTTGGTGTGGGGTTTGGCCTTTAGGGGTTTCGAGTTTAGGGTTTAGGGTTTAGGGGGTTCGAGGCTTCTGCTAGAATCCTTCTACAGCTTTTGCGGACAAGTGGAATGCCTCAATCTGTCTGTCTTTGTGCATGTTGCGTTATGCTATGTGCTGTGCAGGTTGCACTGCTGGGGGCTTTGGACCAGAACCTTAAACCCTGAACCCTGAAAGAGGTGGGTACAAGGCATCTGAATAGGTCCAATCCGGCCAGGTGCATGACCGCCACATCGGCACCATGCTGCTGCAGGCCTGCAACGGGAACTCCTCCCCCCTAAACCCTAAACTTCCGTGGCCATAAGGGTAGTTCTCGAAATTTGGACCCCCTTTTGAGGTCCCCAATGTAATACGGCACCCTTGTCAATCGGACCCAAGCAGATACCCAATCTAGAGAACTACCCATAAGGCAGGATCGTGGGCTGAAGATTCTCTTGCTGTCCTTTGTCTCTGAGCAACGCCATACAGCTAATCCATCACGAGGCAACAATGATGATACTGATAAGATGGTGTCCAATATGGTTGAAGGTTGAAAGTGTCTGGATTCAATTAAAACTAAAGTTCATGCATATACTCTGAACTCTAAACCCTAAAATGGCTTTGGACATTAAGATCCCAGATTTCAAGAGTCTTGAGGCAAAGGCGGTCCCAAGGCTTCTGGGTGAGGGCCCTGGGATTGCGCAGTCAACCTGAAGCCAACGAAGCCAAAAGTCTCCCCTGCAGTGAGGCTCACTTTGGTGAGCATACTTCTATATATATATATATACACACACACATCCATACATACATACATATACAGAAAAATACGTGTGTGTGTGTGTGTGTAGATATTGTACAATGGTTATACATATATATATATATATACACATATACATATGTATGTTTGTATGCTTACAACTCAAACTCTGCTTTCGAGCTGGAGGCTGCGACTCGGCAATAAGCGCTTTGATGGTTTAGGCCTCTGCAGTGTTTAGAGATCTTGGGTTCAGCCAACTTGTCGGGTATCATGGGGAACTGAAGGTTAACCTTTTGCTTATAAAGGGGTTATAGAGCGGCTATACTACCCAAAAAAAGATTAAAGGTTACCTACTCTACTACTACTAGGTCAGAGAGGTTGCAAGATATGGGGAACACACGACTTTTCGTCTTCTGCGCAGTCGATGTACCACTGCCACTGGCGAGTCAATCACCCTTCAGTGACATCTCAAATCTTGTCTCCTCCCGCCTGGGCTCCACACAGGTTGAAAAGAACCTAAAGCCCGAACAAGAAGCGAAGACACCTAAA